AATACTGATGCACTACCAGAGGCCCCATAGACTTCCCAGTCCTCCCAACTAACACCACATTCAGGAATATGGGTGAGTTCTATGTTGGTTTCCCAGCTGTCAGACTGGAGTCCATGAGCTCCCCTTGTTAATGTCAGCAGTTTCTATGAGTTTCTCCAGCCTGGTCTTGACCCTGTTGCTCTTCACTCCTCCCTATCTGCAACTGGATTCCAAGAGTTCAGCTCAGTGTTTAGCTGTGGGTGTCTGCTTCTGCTTCCATCAGCTACTGGGTGAAGGCTCTAGAATGGCATATATCTCATCAATCTCATTATTGGGGAAGGGTATTTAAGGTAGCCTCTCCACTATTGCTTAGATTGTTAGTTGAGGTCATCCTTGTAGATCTCTGGATATTTCCCTAGTGTCAGATTTCTCTTAAAACCTATAATGGCTCCCTTTATTATGATATCTCTTTTCTTGCTCTCCTCTATTCTTTCCCTGACTCAATCTTTCTGCTCTCTCATGCCCACCTCTCCCCTCCTCTTCCTCCTAACTCACTCTCCCCTTCCCCCATGCTCCCAATTTGCTAGGGAGATCTTGTCCTTTTCCCTTCTCCAGAGGACCATGTTTGTCTCTCTTAGGGTCTTCCTTGTTTCCTAGCTTTTCTGGTGGTGTGGACTGTAGGCTGGTAATCTTTGTTCTATGTCTAAAAGCCTTATATGAGCAAGTACATACCGTGTTGGTCTTTTTGTTACATGGGTTACATCATTCAGGATGGTTTCTTCTAGTTTCACCCAATTGCCTGTGAATTTCTTTCTTTTTTTTTTCTTCCTTTCTTCCTTCCTTTTTTTATTTATTTTGGTTTTTCAAGACAGGGTTTCTCTGTATTGCTTTAGAGCCTGTCCTAGAACTTGCTCTGTAGACCAGGCTGGCCTCGAACTCACAGAGATCCACCCACCTCTGCCTCCCTAGTGCTGAGATTAAAGGCATTCGATACCACTGTCTTACCTAGATTTTTTTTTTAATTTTTAATTTTTTGAAACAGGCTTTCCCTGTGTAGCCTTGACTGTCTTAGAACTAGCTCTGTAGACCAGACTGGCCTTGAACTCACATAGATCTACCTGCCTCTGCCTGCTGGGATTAAAGGCATGTACCACTACCACCCCGCCCCAACCTAGATTTTTTAAAATTATGTGTGTGTCTGTGGTTTAGTGCTTGTGTGTGCAGGTGCCTAAAGAGGCTAGTGACAGCTGGGCAGTGGTGGCTCATGCCTTTAATCCCAGCACTCAGGAAGCAGAAGCAGACTGGGCTACAGAGCAAGTTACAGGACAGGCTCCAAAGCAATACAGAGAAACCCTGTCTCAAAAACAAATAAAACAAAACCCCCCAAAAAACAAATAAACAAAAAAGGCCAGAGACATCACATTCCTCTTGAGCTGGACTGAACTTTTACCTGACTGAGATCCTAGGGACAGAACTCAGGTCCACTGTAGAACAGTCAGTACATGCTCTTAATTAGTAATTTTTCCAGCCCTTCTTGGTTATTCTAACAGCCTTTTATATGGTGGAGACAAGTCTCTTATCAAATGCTATTTGCAAATATCTTCTCCCATTCTTTTTACTTTCTGTTTCTTCTTTCTATTTTTTAAAAATTTGTTTTGTTTTTTTTTGAGATGGGTTACTCTGTGTAGCCTTAGCTATCCTGGAGTTTAGTCTGTAGACCAGGCTGGCCTCAAACTCACAAAGATCCACCTGCCTCTGCCTCCTGAGTGCTGGATTTAAAGAACGTCTTTTCAAAATAGGTCATGAACTACCAAAAGGTCTCGGATTCAGTAAATTGGTGTTTGAGCTTGGTTGATATCTTAGAAATTGTCTTCAAAGCAAAGGTCCTTTGAATACAGGGCTTGTGTGTCCTAGGTAAGTGACTTACTACCTTTCTTGGCTTCTGAGTCAGGATCTCACTAAGTTCATCAATCTGACCTTGAACTTGTGAGAATCCTTATGAGTCTAATAACTTTTTGTTAGGATAATGGAGAAAAGACACTTCTGTAAAACTTTATAGTAATGTCAGTTAAAAAGAGGAAATGTGGTTGTGCATAGTGGTATACACCTTTAAGCTACCTTTGGGGCATCAGTGGCAGGCAGATCTCTGTAAATTCAAAGCCAGCCTGGTCTACATAGTGAGTTTCAAGTCAGCCAGAGCAACACAGTGAGACCCTGTCATTAACCTGCTCAAGAAAAAAAGTTCTAGGAATCCAGGCCAAACAGGGCTATGAGGGCTATTATAGTGAGACACTGCCTCGAAAAAGTAAAAGGGGGGCAGTGGTGGCACACACCGTTAATCCCAGCACTCGTGAGGCAGAGGCAGGCGGATCTCTGTGAGTTCCAGGCCAACCTTGTCTACAGAGTGAATTCCAGGTCAGCTAGAGACACACAGAGAAACCCTGTCTTGAAAAAAATAAAAATAAAAAAATCTAGAAGGAAAAATATTCATTCATATTATAGAATATTATATGGCTATTCAAATTATGCAAAAGTAGTTGTTATATGGAGTTTCTGGGAAGATGTATGAGCAAATGTCTATTCCTCTTAGATAATGTGCTGATGACAGATCAAAGAAATATTGTACACACATTTAGCTTGGTGAGCTAGAGTTTATTGTGGTTAGGGGTGAGAGCAACTTGGTCAGTTACATCACTGAAAATGTGGCACTTGAACAACTTCCCCAGCTCTGAGGGTCTCTTCTTAGTAATGTTTTACTGCTTATATACTGCTCCTTTTTTGTAAGTTTTTGGAATTTCCTTGAGTTTTAGGAGTTTTTCTCCAGGAGGAAATGTTTCAACCCAGAGAAATCGCTACAAGCATGTATTCACAAAAAGATACCCAAGTGTAAGTGTTAGGAAGCTACACTTTGATCTGCTATACTGATCAAAGAAGGTGCAGGCAGGTGGCTGGTATATTCCTGTAACTCTTGCCTCTGGAAGACTGAGGCAGGAGGATTGCTGCAAGTTCAAAGCCAGTCTGGACCACATAGTTTGAGGGCATCCAGTCCCAAAAAAGCAAAACAAAACAGCCATCATGACATTTTCACTCCTTTAACCATCAGCAGGGTAGCCCACTGCTGGTTTGTGCTGTGTTCCTCTAGGTGTCATTCATAAGCTTAAGATTTGTTTCAGTTTTTCTACAGTACTGACAGTACTCTAACATACAACACTGAACAGACTCCTTGGGAGAGGTTTCTAGAAGAAGAAATATTTTGGGAGACACCCATGTGACTTTATTACATGGACTCCGGCAGCCCTGTGTACTGGTGTCCTATTTCATGGCATGTGTTGGCCATCTCCCATGCAGGACAGCAGCCTGTAGTGAACCCTCCAACACTGATGCTACTTCATCTCCTGTTGTGAAAGCTTCCATCTTCACCCCGCCTGTTCTACTCAAGTTCCAGCCTGTGCCCAGACCTAAAGATGATTCCGAGAATGACCCCGGAAATGCAGAGTCCATCCCTGCTGAGAAGAGCGAGTAGTCTCTTCCCTACAGACCATGCCCCAGGAATGAATAAAATTCCCACAGAGGTGCATTGTAAGCGAAGTTTCTCTGTGTTCAGCAACTGCTCCCAAATAACCATCCAGAGACTGAGTTATTATAAATCCTCAGCTGATGGCTCAGGTTGATTACTAGCTGACTCTTACATTTTAAAACCCATATTTGTTATTTACCCTCGGCCATATGGCTGCACCTTCTTTCAACATTTGTCTCTTGTGACTCCTGAGATTCTGTCCTTCTTCCTCCCAGCATCTGGTTTGGCTGTCTAATCTCCTGCCTACCTACTGGCCAGTCAGCTCTTTTATCAAACCAATTAGAAGGTGATTTGGCAAAGACACATGCCACAGTGTATAAAAAGATTATTCCCAAATAGTGTATCCTGGTGCCGCACTCCCCAGGGCTTGTATCTCCTCTCTGTACTTGTATCTGAAACAAACGGGATACAGCCACAACTTGAATTCCCAGCCTAAAGCTGCCTAGAATATGTATAGTATGTGTTCAGCCATCAGTGGTGCACGTCTTTAGTCTCAGTACTAGGGAGGCAGAGGCAGGCAGATCTCTGAGTTCAAGGCTAGTCTGGACTATGCAAAGAAACCCTGTTTGGTCACCTCCTCATCCCACCCCATCCTGCACCCCATCCTGCCAAATATGGATTGAATGTGTGTAGATCAGGGTTATGCAATGACCTCTTGCCTCCCAACAAGCAATTCCATTATGTGCACTTTGAGAGAATGGGGTGGGGATGCTGATTTTCCCTTCAGTGACAGACTCCTTTGGGTTGGGTGATTCTATCCTTGCAAGTGAATTGTATTTTCCTTGCATGTGTTCTCTAAACACAAGCCTATTTTGCTGAGTGTTTTTGCCTGGAAGAGGTCTGTCAGTTTCAAAAGTGTGATTCTCATCGTCACCTTATATGCAGGCCTCAGAGCCTGTTCTCCATGCCAGATATTGATCATTACTGGACATTATTAACATACTTATTGAGTCATGGTGGATGTCCATGCCTTGCTTGGGACTCTAGATATATTTAAGAAAAAAAAAAAAACTCAGAACATAGGCAAAATTACTGCATAATTACAAGTTGCGATAAACTATGGGAGAGAGATGAGTGGGTTGGCCAAGGAAGCGTATTTTGTTCTTCTCTCCTTTTGAGACAAGGTATATTCCTGTATATTTCTGATTAGCTGAAGCTCACTATGTAGATGAGGCAGGACTTGAACTGACAGAGATCCTCCAGCCTCTGCTTCCCAAGTGCTGGTATTAAAAATATGCACCACCATGCTGGGTTAAAGATCTTTTGAGGTGAGATTGGAGACCAGAAGCCATGACATAAGAAGAAGCAAAGGTAACTTGCTTTGGGCAATGGGTGGATGGTGGTCCTTGTTAATTCCTCCAAATGACAGTAAAGACCATTACCCAATTTTTGTTGGTTGAATAAGCAAACTTTATTTCCTGCCAGACATGGTTTCTCCCTAAAGTAGGGTTTGAGAGAATAGCCCCAAACACAGGGAAATGATTTATTTATAGCACCAATGGTTGTTTGGTTTCATAGGAATTTGGCTGGCTGAACATCTTATCGGGACGGTGAATGAAAAGAAAAATAAGGGAACTTGACCGATCCTAGGTACGATGAAAGGGGAAGGACAGGGTTTATTATAGGTAAAAGGGAGAGCATAGCCAGAGGCAGGGACATCCTGGAGAGTCCAGAGTGGACATGACCCGGAACCATACAAGGAGAAGGGGAAGGGGGAGAGGGGAACCAGGTGCAGCAGCCAGGAGGCTCAAAGAGAGCTGATGAAAAGGCCAGGTAACCAAAATGTGGATTATATAGGGAAGGGCAGCTCCAGCTTGGGCTGGAGAAGTTTAGGGTAGGGGGCAGGGTATGCTAGCTTGAAGCCTCTGTGACAGGTAGGGACAGAGGGGTGCAGGGAGAACCAGGTGGCCAGCATTCACTCTGATATGTTAAATAGGCACCACAGCTGTGTGTCCCAAGTTTGAGACCTAACAGTTGGAAGTCAGGATATAGGATGTGGAGCATGTCTTAGCATCAAAGTGGAGATTTGCAACAGAGAGCAGGGGCATTGAGAATTCTTTGATTGGACATGTAGACAGGAACATGTGTAGTTGTCTTTGGAGTCACAATATAAGTGGTGTTTAAAACCACAAGCTTAGGGGGCTGGAGAGATGGTTTAGCACTTAAAGGCACTTGCTGCCCTCCCAAAGGGCCCAGGTTCAATTCCCATCACCCATAAGGGATCTGACACCCTCACATAAACATACGTGTACATAAACACCAGTGTACATAAAAAATAAGCCACAAGCTTCGGCTGGAGAGATGGCTTCATGGCTTCACAGACTTACAGCACAAGCCTGGCAAGGAGAATCAACACCTAAATCTTGTGCTATGAATTCCACACGTGTCATGGCATATGATTGACCACACACACACTTTAAAAGGAAATTCAGGCGTTTGTACTTAGCACACATCTCTAGTCCTCTGCATCCTCAGGCAAAAACAAGTCAGTTCAAGAACCTGGCCCCAGGGAATGATCTAGCAGAGGAGATATATGGGACTGGGGAGGGCACTGGACATGAAGGCTTCATCACCTGCCACCTGATGGGCCTGGAGGATGTGGGGGGAGGTGTATAAATAGTGGGGTGGTCACGCCTTTGCAGGCACTGGTCCAGGAGCTAGGGCAAGAAGCTTCAGATACAAGGGAGGCCAGGTCTGAGCGGGTCTGGCTGGTATAGCTCGGGCTGGGCAAGTAACCAGGCAGTACATTGAGAAGTCGCAACGCAGTTTGGCGGGAGACTGTAAAAATGGATTCTACTCAGAGCTAGGAAGCCTCAGCCTTGCATAGTGGCTGTGCCCAGCATGCACTCTGGCAACCTGGAAACCACAATTCCCAGAATGCCGCACCCAAACTTCCGGTACCGGGTGAGCCGAACTCCGGAAGTAGTCGAGAGGTCGGAAAAGCAAGAGTCTGATCGTCTGCTGGGGCCGCCTTAGGTTCGTCGCCACCATGGGGAAGCGACAACATCAGAAGGACAAGATGTAAGTTGAGCAGCACCTCTCTTCTCAGCTCATCACCATCCTGAAGGTCATCATCTCCCGAAAGCCTCACTTCTTGCAGGCCCGATATCATCCCTCAGCGTGGCCTCCGCGGCCAGGGCGTTTTGCTGGCCCGACTAATTAATTCACATCTGGGATTTACCCTACTTTCTACCCTTGCGTTGGCTGTCTGCCTTGCACAGCTAGGCCCACTTGGTCCTGGCTTTTGCCTGCCAGCCTACAAACAGGCGACAGTTAAAGACTAGCGGGCTGTGTTCCGTGTTCCTCTCATTTGCATGCTGTTTTATGTTGCCTCTTGAAATTAGTGTAATCAGATGTTCTCTTTCCCCAAACTGCCTGCGAGGATGTCTTTGACTTCTGTATTGCCAAATCTAGTGCTCAGCTCTCAGTCTTTGGGCTTCTTCCCTTTCAGAAGCCGACCCTTAGTGGGATCTTAAAAGCGGCTTTGCTTTTATTTGCGGCAATGACTTCTCTTTTCTCATTCCCTTTTGCTTGGCTCCCTTCCTTTGTCCCAGACTTAATGGGTATCCCTTCTGTTCTCAGTGGGTGATCTGTTCTGGTAGTGTGATCTCTTTTCACTAAGCCAGCTGTTTACTCAGTAGCTTTCTCACAATTATGCCTGAAAGGGAACTCTTGATAATTTTCACACCTTAACTATGCTCTATTCCCATCCTATCCCAGTGATCACATAGTAAGCCCCTGATTTACGATACATAGACTGACGACAATTTTCAGCCTTATATACCAGCACACAGCAACCAGAGCTGTCATGTCTGGGTCCTGCTCAACACTATTCAACGGCTTCCCATCATCTAAGGCAAATGAGAGAGTACTTGTGATCTTTAAGACTCCTTTATGATGAGCCGCTGCCCTTGCTTCTGTCTCCATCTGCTGCCACACATCTCTCTAGTGTCTGTTTTCCAGAACACATTCAGCTTCTCCTGCCCCAGTTTCAGTAAGTGCTACCCTGTAAAGGGCTTCCCCAGATCTTTGTGAGCCTAGCTCTTTCTCATTGCCAGATCACCCCGTTCATCTCCTTCTGGGCAAGGCCACTGATGTTTATCTTTCTGTCTGTTGTGCTTATCATTCTGTCTAAGGCTGGAGGTGTTTGATGTGTACTTGTCCAGTGAGTGGCAGTTCTATCATATTACATCTACATCTTCTGTCCCTTCTGTGAGGGCAACTCGTAATATCCTCTGTCTTCCTTAGGTATATCACCTGTGCTGAATACACCCACTTCTACGGTGGCAGGAAGCCAGGTAAGGGTGTTGGTGGTACTGAGGAATGTATATAGTGGTCCAGAACCCTGACATTGCAGTGTATATTGCTGGACTGAGTACAGAGTCCACAAATGAGAATGTACACTCAACTTCTGTACTAGTGGTGTTTTTTAAAATGTAATGTAAAATGGCTATTTCTTTAGGAAGTGCTATAAACTTTTTCTTTATAGTAGGAAAAAATGAATGGTAATACCCATTTTCCAAGACTATAGAAAAAAAGGATGTAGTTGTATTTTTTTCATTTATTTAATGTGCCTTGCTCTCATGTATGTCTATGTGAGAGTGCCAGATCTCCTGGGCCTGGAGTTAGTTGTAAACTGCCATGTGAATTCAGGGAATTGAATCTGGGTTCTCTGGAAGAATCACCAGAGCTCTTAACCACTGAGCCACTATCCTCTGTGTGTGTGTGTGTGTGTGTGTGTGTGTGTGTGTGTGTGTGTGTGTGTATAGACAGTCTTATTGTGTAGCTCAGGCTGGCCTTGAACTCAAGATCTTTCTGCTTCTGTCTCACCAGTGATGGTATTATAGTCATGAGCCTCTGTTCCCAGTCATAGTCACAGTTGAAATGTTAGTAAAGGATATGTGCTTTAAAAACAGCTCAGTCAGGCAGGGTGTGGTGGCTCATGCCTTTAATCCCAGCACTCAGGAAGCAGAGGCAGGCGGATCTGTGAGTTTAAGGCCAATCTGGTCTACAGAGTGAGTTCTAGGACAGCCAGGGCTTCACAGAGAAACCCTGTCTTAAAAAACATACATACCACTTCATTTTGTTAAATGTTTTATTTATAATAAAATTTAAAAAAAAAGTTTGTGATGGGATTGGAGACATGGCTCATTGGTTAAGAGCACTTACTACTCTTCCACAGGACCCAGGTTCAATTCCCGGTACCTACATGGCAGCTCACAACTTTCTGTTAGTCCAGTTCCAGGGGATTCGACACCCTCACACAGACATCTGTGCTGAAAAAACATCAACACATTTAAAATAAAAATTAATCATTTTAAATTAAAATTCTATGCATTAAGAAATTATTGGAATTGTTCAACCCGTTTGAAGATGCCTGCTTTTGTACATGCTAGGCAAACACTTTATGACTGAGATATGTCTCCAGCCCAGTAAATATGCTTTTTTCTTCTATCTTTAAATTTCAAAATGCATATACTAAGTAAATACTCCACCAGTGAGCTACACCTACAGTCACTCTTAAGTATTTTTTTGGAAAAAATGTAAAATTTTATTGTTGTGTATATAAATGCAGGTGTGGGTATGCCTTGGTATACATGTGGAAGACAGAGGACAACTTTATGAACTTAGCTGTCTTTGGAACCTTTTTGTGGGTTCCAGGAATTGAACTCAGGTGGTCAGGCTTACATGGCAAGAGCCTTTACCCACTGAACCAGCTTGCTGCTCCTCTGACTTTTTGTTTTGTTTTGTTTTGCTTTGCTTTGCTTTGTAGGTCAGGCTAGCCTATACTGTGTAGCCCAGGTAACCCTTGAACTTGAGAGTCTCCTATGTCAGTCTTAAGAACTGGGATTACTTATAGGTATGGAATTGTGCTCATGGTTCATGTTTTCTTTTTTAAAGATTCACTTATTTATGTGGATGAGTGTTATGTTTGCATGTATATGTGTATCATGTTTTTATCTGGTGCCCCTGAAGGCCAGAAGAGTCATTGGATCCTTGGTACTGGAGTGATGGACAGTTGTGACCTGCCATGTGGGTGCTGGGAACTGAACTTGGGTCCTCTGGAAAAGAACAAGTAGGCTTAAGCACTGGAGCCATCTCTCTAGCCCCTCGATTCACTTTGATAATATCAAAAGATTCTGTGAAGCCAGGTGTATGTTTTAGTCCAGGACAGCCAGAGATACTCAGAAAAACCCTGTCTCAAAAAAGCAAACAACAAAAAGGTTCTGCAGGTGTGTGTGTATGAATGTGTGTGTGTGTGTGTGTGTGTGTGTGTGTGTGTATGAATGGAGTGTGTGTGTATGAATGTGGGTGGGTGTGTATGAATGTGGGTGTGTGTATGAATGTGGATGTTTGTGTGTGAATGTGGGTGTTTGTGTATGAAGTTGGGTGTTTGTATGTGCATGAATGTTTGTATGTATATGAAGGTGATGTATATATATATGCATGTGGGGGTTAGTACATCAGTGTGTTTTTTTGGTGTATGAATGTGGGTGGGTTTTTTGTTTGTTTGTTTGTTTGTTTTGGTTTTGGTTTTGTTTCTTTGAGACAGGGTTTCCATGTGGCGTTGGCTGCCCTGGTACTTATTATATAGATCAAGCTGGCCTTGAACGCATAAAAATCCACCTGCCTCTACTTCCAATTGCTGGAATTAACAGCATGTGCCACTGCTCAGCCCATCTCTTGTTGAGACAGGGTCTGTCACTGGACCTAGAGCTTACTGATTGGCTAGATTGGCTTGTTAGTAAGTTCTTTCTGTTTCTACCTCCAGTGAAGTATACTCTTAGCCACTAAGCCATCACTCTAGCCCATTTTTTTTCATTATTTTATTATTTTTAGGTAATAATAGGTGTCTGCCTGCCCTCAAAGGCCAGAGGAGTTAAGTTCTCTGGTAATTACAGGCAGTTGTGAGTTACTTGATGTGGGTGTTAGTAACTGAACTCAGGTCTTCTGCTGGAGTGATAATGTGTTCTTAACTGCTAAGCCATCTTTTCTTTCTAGGCCCCCACCAAAGAAGTTTTTCTTTCTTTTTTTTTTTTTTTTTTTTTTTTTTTTTTTTTCTTTCTTTTGAGACAGGGTTTCTCTGTGTAATCCTAACTGTCCTGGAACTCGCTTTGTAAACCAAACTGCCCTCAAACTTAACAGAGATCTACCTGCCTCTGCCTCCCAAGTGCTGGAACCATTGCCCAGCTACCAAAATATTCTTTCTCTAGGGCCTGGAGGTGTAGCTCAGTGACACATCTAGCACGTAGCATATATAAAGTCTTGGGTTTCATCTCCAGCAATACATAATACATTCTTTTCTCTTGAAACAACTGCAACAAAAAAATTAATCTGTGGTAATATAGTTTTTAGTGGTACACTAGATGAAATATTTTCTAAATAAGTTTTCTGTTTTTTTATTTAAACAGATATCACACAGACAAGTTTTCGCCGCTTACCTTTTGACCACTGTAGGTAAGGCCTTCAATAGACTTCTGTTTTCTTTTGATTATCATCGATTATTCTCCAAGTGTGTGTGTATGTCTGTGTGTTTTTTTTTTTAAGTTAACTCTGTAACTTGGGCTGGCTTTGAACTCCTAATTTATCTGCTTCTACCTCCCAAGTATTAGAATTATAGGCTACCATACTTGCATCAGGAGTATTTGTGCACAGACTTTTGCATAGACAGTTGGTCATCCTTGATCTGAAAAATCCAAAACTCTCCAAATCTAAAACTTGTTGAAGCCTGATGTGACAATCAGAAAGTTAGACTTTGGAGCATTTTGAATTTTCAGTTTAGGGATGCTCAACATGTACCATCTGTCCCTTTGACATGCACTCAGGGTTTTTTTCTGTGCCTTTCAGGAGAGAGTGGGCCCAGCCATGAAGACAGTGCATGGGTATTTTCTGGTTATTTTGTCTGTGTTTACCAGTTTTGCTTTTAAGCTTCATTCTTCTGAATTTGAGTAGACCCTGTTGCTAAGCTTATTTTATGTCTGAGTTGTGGCCTAGATGGTCTCACTCTAGGCTGTGCCTGTAATGCTCTATTCTTGTCCAGATTGTAAGTCATCGTGGCATCAGTAATAGTGATGATTCTGGTAGGCCCCTTCCTTCCCTGGAGCCTCAGGTACTGGTGGAAAGGGGAGGGTAGTCCAGATGCAGAGCCATCAACTATATTGCTTTGGGGCATATTGGTATCTGGACCGAAGGTCTGCTGTGGAACCATGTCTAGGATCCAATCCTCTCCACATACTGTTCCTCTTAGGGTAAGGTGGACAGGGAGGAGCACTGTAAGGGTAGGAAATCTGGTTGGTACTTCTAAGTGCCAGTTCTGAAGGTCAGTTGACCCAGTTGGAGCCTGACAGTCAGGTGTCAGAGAGCAGTGAGAAAGGGAGGGAGGCTGCAGCACAGGAAGCAAAAGGGACAGATCACAGTGCAGAAAGGCCTGGATATAGTTGTTTATTTCAGAAGCAGGCCTCCCTGCATCTGCCCCGTCAGGAAGTCCTGTGCTGTGGTGATGGGAGCTCTGTAGCACCTGTTCAGGGAGGGTGAATAAGTAAGACCCTTCCTCTGCCACTCCTGGCTCAACCTTGTTGGAATGAATGTTACCTGGGTTACATAGGTCTTTGACTCCACTCATCACTTTTAGCTGCTGTGGGTTGTGAATGGAGAACATATATAAGGATGTGCTGGGAGCAAGCTCTCTACTAGAGTCTGTAGAACTGCTTCTGCTCCAGCCACTTAGTGGCTACTTAGAGTCAAAGGAGTTTTTGTTTTTGTTTTTTTTTTTGTTTGTTTGTTTTTTGAGACAAGATTTTCCTTTGTATCCCCAGCTGTCCTGTAACTGCTTTGTAGACCAGACTGGCCTCAAACTCACAGAGATCCTCCTGCCTCTGCCACCCACATTCTGGAATTGCTGGAATTAAAGGTGTGTACCACCATCACCATGCCTTTTTTTATTTTTTTAGATAGGGTCTATATACTGTTTCTGGCAGACCTGGAATTCACTGTGTAGATAGGCTGGCCTCTAACTCAAGAAGATTACCCACTCTGCCTCCTGTGTGCTAGATTTAAAAAGGCTTGGGACCATCACAAGAAAGAAAGGAAAGCAGCAACATGGACTTTACCAGGCAGACACCTCCTGTGGGAAATGGTTATGGGAGTTGAGGCTGCTGTAGACCTTTCCACCTAGTGCTTCAGAAATTCTCAAGGACTCAGGTTTTCCTTAGTCATGTTCCCAGCACACATCAGAGTGGTGCAGGAACTGCACCATAGGAGCCTTATCAAAGCTTGGGGTGGGGGAGGATGGCTCTTGGGATGAAAGCTTGGTCTGCCTGTTGTGTGAGGAACTTGCTTTCTCAAGGCCATCACTGGGGACCTCTTTTTGACTTGAATCTGACAATAGTATGAAGTGGGCTTGAAAGAAGCCTGGCTGCTTCTGTACTGGGTACTGAGGCCCGTCTTGGGATGATGCCAGTGGCAGGGCACACTGGGAACTGTTGGGGTTAGGACCTATAGCATGCTTAGGTGCCCAGAAGCTGACCACACATCTCTGCCCATTTCAGTCTTTCTCTGCAGCCCTTTGTCTACCCTGTCTGCACCCCGGAAGGTGTCGTCTTTGACTTGCTGTAAGTTTACTCTTGAATTTTTAAATTTCTTTTTACTTGTGGTGTGTGTGTATGTGGTACTTCTGTATGTGTGATTGTGTTCAGGTTTCAGGTGCGTGTGTATGTGTAGGCCAGAGGCTGACCTCTGTTCTCCATCTTACGTTTTTTGAGACAGGACCTTTCTCACTGAACTTGGGACTTGCTGTTTCAGCTAGACTGGCTGACCAGCAACCCCTCACAGTCTGTCTGTCTCAGTGCTTTAAACCCTACTAAAGTTACAGATGTATGCTGTCTTGTTGGCCTTTTTTTTTTTTTTTTTTTTTTTAACATGGGTTTTGGGGATCCAAATTTCAGGTTTTTGTGATTGTGTAGAAAGAACTTTATCACCGGGCGTTGGTGGTGCATACCTTTAGTCCCCCATTACTGGGGAGGCAGAGGCAGGCAGATCTCTGTGAGTTCAAGGCCAGCTTGGTCTACAGAGCTAGTTTCAGGACAGGCTCCAAAGCAATACAGAGAAACCCTGTATTTTGGTCTTGAAAAACAAAAAACAAAACAAAACAAAAGAAATTACTTTATCCAGTGAGCTGTCTCCCAGCACTGCCTTTAATTTTGATTTAACAAATACTGTACGATTGTTGACACCTATTAGAGAAAGGGATGTTGAGTTTGTGGCTCCATGCAGGGAACCAAAATCTTGTCCCTACAATCTTCATGAAGTCCAGGTGAGCCTCTTTGTGTAGAAAGTTTCTGTCCCGCCTGGTTCCACAGCTGTTTAGTCCCAATAAACACAAATAGGCTTATATTAATTATAAACTGTTTGGCCAATGGCTCAGGCTTGTTATTGGCTAGCTTTCTCTTAATTATTAAGCCATTTCTATTAATCTGTGTATCTCCACGTGTTCATTGGCTTACTGATGATGCCCAGGTCTCTTGTTCTTGGCAGCTACATGGCATCTCCTTGACTCTGCCTACAACCTTTCTCTATCCCTATTTGGATTTCCCTCCTGGCTAAATCCTGCCTGTCCATTGGCTAAAACAGCTTTATTCATTAATCAACAAGAGAAACATATATTTGCAGCATACAGAAGGACATCTCCCATCACTCTTTGGGAATTGGGAAGGACAGCCAGGTGTTCAGGGACATGGCAGAAAGTGCTCTGTGACCTCCAGTAGGCAGTATTGGATGGCAGTGCTGTTGCTCAGGATGGAGATGAGTCCTTCTAGCCCCGTGTTTTAGTGCCCAGCTCCTTACCTGTCCTTGATGTGGAACAGTGATGCACTGGATATTCTCTGCCTGCAGAAAGTAGGGCTGTGATAAAGATGCATAGTTCCCAGCATTATATTCTGAAGCATTATACTTCTGAAGTATTATACTTCAAGCTTATTTTATGTTCTAAAATACTTTCTAAAATTTAGAAAAATGTGAAGTACTTCAGTAGAACACTTACCATAAAGAGCCCAGTGTTCAGGATCATCACCATGCATGTTTATGCCTTCTGGGCTCTGTACACAGATTTGTCTTTGGAGAATGGGGAGTCCCACTGTTTTGCCCTGGCTGGCATTGAATTCTAGGCTCAAGTGATTTCCTGCCTTCATCCATAAGTAGCTAGGGGTGGCTTACTACCATGCGTGGCTGCAAGTATGCTTTTTTATTTTGAGACAGGGTTTCTTCGTGTAGCTTTGGATGCTGTCCTGGAACTCAAGCCATAGACAAAAGGCTACTCACAGAGATCCACCTGCCTCTGCCTCCTGAGAGCGTGGGTCACCACCCTCTGGTGCAAGTATAATTTTTGGTGCTGACCTACTATTTTGTTGCATAGACATGCTAACATTGCCCAGTTAAAATTCTTGTTTATATGCAAGTGCAGTCAAACTCTTGTAAATGCTGACTGGAGCTCAGTGGGAAAGAACAGCCTGTGTGTGTTAGGCATGTGTTCAGGCTCCAGCACCAGGAAATCCCCAGTCACTGAATGCAGATGAAAGAAAGTGCTCCTTCCCTCTGTAGTGAGGTGCAGCCTGCCCTACACGCTCAACCTGGGAGCAGCCCTAAGGCCTCAGGCGGTCTCACTGGCAGCTCCTACTGGTGACATTTTTATTTTACATGTGTGGTTGTTTTGCCTGTGTGTCTGTTTGTCTGTGTACCACATTTGTGCAGTGCCTGTGGAGCTAGTAGAGCACACTGGATTCTCTGGAACTGGAGTTACAGAGAGTTGTTATTGCCATGTCATGTGGGTGCTGGGAGTGTGGGTCCTCTGCAAGAGCACCATGTACTCTTAACTGAGGAGCCATCTCTCTAGCCTCCTAGTGACACTTTTTGTTCTTTCTTGTTAGGAACATTGTTCCATGGCTTAAGAAGTATGGGACCAATCCCAGCAATGGAGAGGTAGGTGGCCATGCAGGAACTTATTGCCATGGAGCTGTGCCCTGCTTTTGCTTTGTCTTTGTATGTCCTCAGTGGAGAACTGCTCACAGGGCGTAGAATGACAGTCCTCTGCTTTCTAGAAGTGTTGCCTCTGTGTCCACACATGTGCATGTACAGCTGGCCCTTTGTGTCTGCAGATTCTGTGTTGTTGGATTCAGTTAGCCATGCTCAAAAAGAAGTATTTGTGGAAAAATTGTATTGAATATTATCTATATGCTTTCTCTTGTCATTGTTTCCTAAACAGTATCAGATAATAATTATTTGTGTAGCATTTATATTGTAATAGGGTAGCAAGCAGTCTAGAGGTGGTTTAAAATTGGTAAGAGGGCACACATAGATTCTGTTCAAATGCTACATCATTTTGAGACTGGAATATTTGTGGAGTCTTGGTACTAATGTTTCATGAATGTACACCATTGTATATATCTTTGTTTGCTTGAGACAGTGTCTAGTCTGTAGTATAGACTCTTCTCATTCACAGCAGCCCTGCCTTAGCCTCCATGCTTGGCTGTCTATGTTTTCTCTTGAGTTTGATCAGAATGGGTGACTCATCTGTATCTTGCTTTGTGTGCTTTGCAAGGTGCTGGTGAGTCTCACAGGTGTTAGTACAGAAAGCACAGCCTTTTCTGTGAGACTCTGTCCCTTGGAAAGAATGGCTTTTTACACTTATTTACATGTTAGTGTATGTGTAAGAATGTAGGATATCTGTGAGTGCACATGGCATGGCACAGGGTCAGGACAACTTGTGGGTGTCAGAGTTCTCTCCTGCCACCATGTGGGTTCTCAGGATGTCAGGCTTGGTGGCAAGTGACTTTACTTGCCACCTTTGGTCTTTTGTCTGTCTTTGTCAATTGCAGCAGAAGTGCAGGAATGGCCCCATGCACATTTTCCTGAGTGCACAGGAGTATTCTTCTAGGACTGCAGAGTCAAAAGAAGGTGCATTGTCAGTTTCCATAGCTACTAGCCAACCGCCTTCAAAGTTATTACATTTTGAAGTTTTTAGATGCACTGTGCAGAAGAAGATGCTTCTTCTATGTCCATGACATTTCTTGGTATCATTGGAGTTTTTTGTTTTGTTTTTTTGAGACAGGGTTTCTCTGTGTGGCCCTGACTGTCCTGGAACTCACTCTGTAGATCAGGTTGTCCTGGAACTCAGAGATTTGCCTGCCTCTGCCTCCTGAACTCTGGGATTGAAGGTATGTGCTATCATCACCTGCCAGGTTTTTTTGTTTTTGTTTTTTTTTAATGGGCAAAAAGGAAGTCGTGCATGCCTTTAATTCCAGCACTTCAGAAGCAGAGGTAGATAGATCTCTGTGAGTTTGAGGCTAGCCTGGTCTGCAGTGAGTTCTAGTACAGCAAGGGCTACACAGAGAAACTCTGTCTTGAAAAAACAAAAACAAGTCGTATTTGTGTCAGATAAGCCACTTCTTGTATGACTGCACACAGGTCCAATATTGTGACTTCTGTGCCCCTCAAGAACAATATTTCTGATTAAGATTATAGCTCATTCTCTAGCCTCATTTTTTTCACACATTTTAATCAGCTTCTGGTCTATTAGTCCCTTTACATTTCAGAGGTCTGTGCCCACCCCTTCTGTGGGCCTAGTTCTTCATCCATTCATTTGATCCTTTGAAGAAGGCATCATCTTTGTATGTGCCAGGCCCAGCACGGGGATGGGGCAGACAGGTCAGGTAGAGGGAAGAGGAAGGGTGGGAGGGCTGAGGAATCTAAGGATGTTGAACTTGCTCCCCTGATGCAGCCCTGCCCTTCGCTGCTTCTAAGCTGCCATCCCTGGTATCTTGTCTACAGTTGTCCTCAGGACCTCAGCCTCTGTTCTGGTGGACATCGTTATTCAGTTACACCAGGTGCTTTTTGTTATTTTTGCATTCTGTGTCACAGGTGCTCTTTGGGGTATCAAATTTTGTTGATCTGTCCTCTACAGCTGCCAAACTATATATAGCAGTGACTTTGGTCATGATTAGAAGCTGGGCCATTTCCTTTGTTCTATTATAGCACTCCTAGTCTGTGGGCGTTCCATTCCTTTCTGCTGTATCTAGGTCTTTTTTATTTATTTATTTATTTATTTATTTTTGGTTTTTGAGACAGGGTTTTTCTGTATTGCTTTGGAGCCTGTCCTGGACCTAGCTTGGTAGACCAGGCTGGCTTTGAACTAACAGAGATTCACCTGCCTCTGCCTCCCAAGTGCTGGGATTAAAGGTGTGGGCCACCAACGCCCAGCTGTACCTAGCTCTTTAACCGTGCTGAACACATACTCTACCACTGAGCTATATCACCAGTTTTCCCACTTTCAGTGTTTGGTTTCTTTTTAAAAATATTTGTACCACAGCATAAGCAGAATACCTGGGTACTCTCACTAGCTTTATTTTTTACATTTGTTTATTTTGTGTATGTGTGTGTATGCATATGTGCGTGTGGGCCTACTGCATGTGTGCAAAGGTCAGGGGACAACTTGTGGGAGTTAGTTAGTTCTCTCCTTCCTCTGTAAGTCCTGCTGGGCATGGAACATATCATCAGGATCAATGACAAACACCTTTACCAGCTGAGAAATTTCTCTGGCTTTCCTACTAGTTTTTAATACTACTCATTTTTGTTTCTGTTTTTATTTTATTTATTGTTATTATTAGAGAGAGGGTATGTCATGGGTGTTGGCGTGGTGCACATGTTGCCAGAGGACAACTTTGAAGAGTTTGTTCCTCTACTGTGGGTTTCAGGGATTGAGTTCAGGGTTTCCAGCTTGTATAAAGTAGTAAGGCCATCTCAATGGTCCTGCACTCACTCATTAAGTGGTGTGCTTACCATAAAGATGTTCAGACAAGGCCTGGATATGGAGCTCAGTGGTAGAGCACACACTTAGCATATGTGAGGTCCTGAGTTTGGTACTTGGTACCAATGTGGAAATACACATCAGTCTTTATTCCACAGCCTCATCATTTAGTCCAGTGACTACCCCTTATGTTTGTTGGATTTGATGTTTATAATCTGGGGATCTGCTTACAGGTTGGGTTTACAGATGACATCAATGCATCTATGTAGGCTTGCCATTCTACAGCTGCCCTGGCTGTGTCTTGGAGACTACCCAGAGAAAGTTTACTCGTGTAAGCTGAAGAGAGTCATTTGGGCAGATTTTTCTGTTCTGTCCCTGGTGCTCCTGATTTAGTAGCGTTCATGTTCTTTCTCCCCTTATTCATTATTGTTAATTGTGTCTTCCAGAAACTTGATGGGAAATCCCTGATCAAGCTCAACTTTGCAAAGAACAGTGAAGGTGAGAGACCCTTTTGTAGCCAGCTCTAGTACTGGTCCACAGAACTGCTAAGCTCCTGCTCTCACCAACTTCTTGACTATAATTAGGCATTCCTTTCTCCTCTCTTGTGCTTGGAGGCTGAAAGTGGGGCCTCACACACGCTAAGCAAGTGATCTACCTGAGTCAAATCTCTAGCCTCACTCATTCCTTCCTGACACTTGCTTTTGATTTCCCAGTTGTTACATGACTTCTCAAAGGTCCAGGGAGCTGAAGTAAGGTTGGGGGCTCCCACAAAGGCTGTTGGGCTGTTGTGAGCTGCTGGTACTTTAGTTGGACCTTCTGTGTGGGCCATAGCTAGCTGAGGCTGTGGTCTGTTCTTGGCTGTAGGTGGAAATTGCTCAGACAAAGGCTCAGGGTGGCCAGCCCAACTGTGGTTGCAGATGTTTGGGAGTCATTTCCATTTTGCTCTTGAGTAGATGGTCAATCATCACTGCTCCTTCAGACCTCTGCCCCACTGTGGCCTCCTGCTCTAAGTCCCTTTGTGTCCAGTTATTGCCCAGTTAGATAATGCAGCTACAGTCTAGATGCCCTGCTCGTGTCTGGGGGTCTGAATTTGTTACAGGTTCTTGGTGTGTTTTCCATGGAAATGTTGCAAGCAAAGAAAGAATGGGCCATCTTTCTTCATTGCCTGACTTACAGCAATCCTGGATTCATAGGTCATATGTGTCTGTTACAGAGCAGATCTTCCTGAAGTGTCTGCCTGGAAATGTGCATAGAATAAGCAGGTGGGGTGAGGTGGTGTGTGTGTGTCCTTGACTGAGAAGATCTTTTGTTGGTGGGGGAGGAATCTATGCAGGACATAAGTAGGGCATAGGATGTCCTTTGTTTTAGACAGAAGTAGAGGAAGGAAGGGTCCAGAAGACAGGATCTGAGAGGGAACTTGGTGAGAGCGAGCTGTATGAGGGTATGGGAAGAACATTCTAGGCAGAGGGGTCAGGCACATCAAAGGCAGAGGGTGTCCATGCATGGCAGGAGTCCATTAGTGTTGAAACCATGTGAGCAAGGGCAGATGGCTTAAGACATGAGGGGTAGATAGGAGACAGATCAGTCCTGCGGGTCACTAGGGAGTCAGGCCAGACCAGAGCTTTCAAGATTGGACCTCATGTTTTTGGTGGTGCTGGGAGGTAGGACTTTACATGCTATGCAAGTGCTCTACTAGCGAACTAGCTTTGTCGTTATCACCCCACCCCAAGTGCTCTACTAGTGAACTAGCCTTGTCGACACCCCCACCCCCTATGTTTTAGGTAAAGTGTAGATTGGCTGCAAACTCACTTTGTAGCTGAGACTGGCTTGAATTCCTGATCCTTCTTATACTCCCAAGTACTGGAATTTTAGGCTCATACTACCTTGGCCAAGTCTATTTTGGTGTGATTTGAAATTTCAGACCCATGAAAACAGAGCATTAGTGAGACATTTCTACCTATGCCACTCAGAGCACCTGTCCCTTACAGCTTACTGGTTTTATCTGGGCTTGCACTTGGCAATCTCAGGGTGGTGCTCAGGGGGTAAAGGCACTTGCTGTCAAGGCTGACAACTTGAGTTCCATCTACAGGACTTATGGAAGGAGAAAAGTGACTTCTAGAAGTTCTTCTTTGGCTTCCACACTTCCATTGTGACATGTGCACATCCCTGTCCCCTGTCCCAAAACACAAAGTTAATAAATAAAAATGTAATACAGAGCTGGGTGGTGGTTAAAGGTCCCAGCACTCAGGAGGCAGAGGCAGGCAGGCAGGTCTCTTAATTCCAAGGCCAGCCTGGTCTACAGAGAGAGTTCCAGGACAGCCAGGGCTACACAGAGAAACCCTGTCTCAGAAAAACCAAAAAGAAAACAAACAAACAAAACAAACAAAACTACAAATGTGGTACACTAATTAAAAGGGTGGTTCTGGTGCATGCCTTTAGTCCCAGCACTTGGGAGGCAGAAGCAGGAGGATTTCTGTGAGTTTGAGAGCAGCCTGGTCTACAGAGTGAGTTCCAGGACAGGTTCCAAAGCTACAGAGAAACCCTATTTTGAAAAACCAAAATGGTATTATGACAATTAAAAGGGAACAGGAATTCTCTGGTATCAAATATACAAAGTGGTTAAATTTCCATAGGTTTTGTTGTTATTGTTTTTTAGGTGTGTTTGTTAAGTGTGGGATTTCTTTTTTATTTTGAAATACATTTTTAGTGACATGTCTGTTTGTCCTCCCTTGCCCCCCATTTATCTGTTGGGATTCACTAGACCAGGCCCCTGCTGGATGGGAAATCCTCTATTGGAGCAGGAAGATGGTCAGGCTGGCTAGCTGGTAGCTGTCACAGAGCTAGGTGAGGAATCCCAGGAGAAAGGAAGTGGCGGGTGTGAGGTAGAAAGCAGTGGAAATGGGTCTCTAGAAAGATAAGCCACTCCCTGTCTGGCATAACTTTAAGAGAATGTGGGTCACCTGAGCCAGTGGGGAGGCTAACGCTGTTCTGAGTAAGGGTCAATGAGGATTGGGTCTTGTAAAATGAATAGGAGTTTGTTAACTGTGGGAATGGAGCTTGAATAGCTGTGGTTCCCAGGTCTCGGTAGCTGGACCTAAGGTTCTGCCTCTTTCCCTCCTTTAACCCCTTCCTGGTTCTTCCTCCCTGCGCCCCCCCTCCCATCCTGACAGGGTTTCTCTGTGTAGCCCTGGCTGTCCTGGAACTCTCTCTGTAGACCAGGCTAGTCTCAGACTCAGAGATCAGCCTGCCTCTGCCTCCCTGTGCTGGGACTAAATGTGCACACCACCGACAGTCCTTTTCTCCCACCCCCTGGTGAAATGGGGTTGAATGCACATGCTAGGCAATGCACTGCCACTGAATCTCCCTTTTAAATTTCACTCTGAGATTAGTAATTTTATTTTATCTACATTGGTGTTTGCTGCATGAGTGTGTCAGCTCTTAGAGTTACGGACAGTTGTGAGCTGCCATGTTGATGCTGGGTCCTGAGACTTTTTAAATTGTCCACCTGACCTCGTACTCTGTTCTTCTGTCTCAGCCTCTGAAGTAGCTGGGTTATAAGTATGTACACTCGTGATTGCTTAGTCACAGCTCTTGAGGGTCACTAGCCCTGTGTGTGCTTTCTTTCTAGGGCAGTACCACTGTCCAGTGCTGTACTCCGTGTTCACTGACAACACCCATATTGTGGCCATCAGGACAACTGGCAATGTCTACACCTATGAGGTAGTCCCCCATTGTAGTGAGTGGGACTGTCTAAAATGGGGCCCTCACAGTTTGGGGATATGCTTTGGGGATGCCTGTCCTCGTGGGCTTTTATAGCACTCAGCACAAGCTGTCATTTCTGGTAGGTAGCCATCCATCCTACTTTATGAGGGTTAAAATGAAGATCAGGCGACCTCAGCTGGGCGGTGGTGGTGTACTCGGGAGGCATAGGCAGGTGACTCTTTGTGAGTTCGAGGCCAGTCTGGTCTACAGAGGTGCTACAGCCAGTGCTATTATACAGAAAAAAAAAAAAAAAAAAGAACCCAGACTACTCTGGTGGCCTTTGGACCTGAAACCTAGGCAGTCAGTTGGGGCTGTCTAAGCAAGGATTCCTTGTATCTCAGGGAGTCTTCCCTGTCTTCAGCATGGACCAGGCTCTTAGGGAGGAGGAAGTGTCAGGTTGATAGGAGGTACAGGAGCTATCTTCCTTCTCTGGTCAGACCAGGACAAGGAGCAGTCTATGGTGCACAAGAGCCCTTGTTAGACCTCTTGCCTGAAGCAGCTAGGTTGGTTTAGCTAATCTGCCAGGAAAGTGACAGCATCCAAGATTGTTTACCCCAGAGTGGCTCTTTGCATACTGATTTACCCCTTACTTCTATGCCATGCCTGGAAGGGATCATGACACCTCTGTCCTGCTGTAGGCAGTGGAGCAGCTAAATATCAAGGCCAAGAACTTGAGGGACCTATTGACTGATGAGCCCTTCTCCAGGCAAGACATCATCACCCTGCAGGTAGGTGCTTCACTGTGAGTGCCTCACTTTGACCCTCAGCTCTGCCCTGTGTTCCAGCTTCTCCTTATGAAGCTTGGTGGTGATCTGTACCACAGCACCTGTGGCCACTGCTCCCTTCTGTGCGCCACACCTCTTCCCCACACCACTGTGGACCTTGGCTGCCTTCTGGCTCTCATGGCTCTGTATCATAGGGGCTGCATCTGCCCCACAGCCATCACAGGCATCAGGACACAGAGCAGCCTTGGGCACAGGTGTCCCCTTCTGTGGTGGGTGAACGGTGAAATTTGACAGACAAGTAGCAAAGCCTACATGGAGCTGAGTCCAGGACAGATTTAAAGGACTTTGTGGCTTGTCCCTTTCTGATTGAAGCTTGGCCCATGGCTGCCCAGTCTACAACTTGTGTTGTCATCAAGTCTTGCTCCTTGTTTTTGTGCCCTGGAGGTAGGGAACACTGCTTGATGAGCTGCTGGGCAGTCTGTTCTCTGGACTCACACCACCTTTGCTTGCCATCCTGTCAGGATACAGCCTTCTTCCCTGCTTCACTCTCTGGTCCTCACACAGCCCAGCTATAGTCTCTTCCCCTGCGGGCACCTGTCAAGCCTTGCCATCAGCAGCAGGTGCTTGCTACAGGCCTGGTTGTCTTCCCGGATCTTCTCTTCTTGTCACAGGACCCCACCAATCTGGACAAATTCAATGTTTCCAATTTCTTCCATGTGAAGAACAACATGAAAATCATAGATCCAGGTATGGACAACCGAGGCTGCTGTGAGTAGTGGAGGTGTGCTTCCTTCTCGGGCAAGGTCTTCCTTCTGGGGCTGCAGACACTGTGGCTCCAGAGTAGCTTTTCATTAACTGGGATCTCTTTATTTTGGGAAGCCCTGGCTGGCCTCAAATTTGCAGTGTTCCTCCTGTTGCCTTCCAAGTGCTGGGGTTACAGGCATGTACCACCATGTCTGTTAGGCTCCAGGCGGTCAGAGAAGCAGCTGACTGTAGTCTTGGAAACACCAGGACACCTCTCTTTCCCTTCCGCAGCTCTGGTGGCCCTGTGGTTTTTGGATTCCTGTTGGTTGCTGCTCTTTCCAGGACACAGTGATAGAGGGGCTGCAAGTGAGACTCTGGGTGACATCAGACCTTTCTAGGGTACAGTTAGACTGGGCCCCTGGTCCTCTCACTTCCTGTATTTGGCCCATGCCATTGATCACACTATAACATACTGTGGAGTGGTTGAAGTTTCTGGACTTACTCTTCCATACCAAGGAGCCAGCCAGACTCATGGCCAGAGGTTAATTGGTCCACTTCAGCAGGAAGCAGTGTTCTGAACTTTACAATGTACACTGTGGACCAGTCAGGATTTAGGAAGGTAGAACAACTCAGGAATGACTGAGCTCAGGAGACCAAGGGGCCAGGCCTAGGGATGCCCACTACCCAGTAAGGGACCTGGCAGGTAACATGTAGCATTGATGAAACTTCATATATGAAATACTCCAAACTCTTCCTTCCTTTGGAATAAGCATTTTTAGCCAGGCAGTGGCAGGGCATGCCTTTAATCTCAGCACTTGGGAGGCAGGGACAGTGAGCCTCTTGAGTAAAGGCCAGCCTGATCTACAGAGTGAGTTCCAGGATAGCCAGGGCTACACAGAGAAACACTGTCTTGAAAACACACACACACACACACACACACACACACACACACACACACACACACACACACACACACACACACTCACCCCAAAAAGAAAGAAGTGCTTTTAAAATCACAAAAGCAAGACATTGTGAAAAGGCTGCAGTATACAGGTAGGTACAGAGAACAGAGACATTTAAGTTTGAACCATCCTGAGACTCCCATTGACTGTATGAGGAAGACCCCTCTAGGCTGGGACCAGGCCCCCTGTGCGTCCCACCTTGCTCCACCCTCTAGTGCTCCTGCCAGATGCCTCAGGGCAGTAAGTGCTGGCTCTGCTATGGCCAAAGAAGCTTGTCTTGGTTAAGGCACCCGTGGCTTCTGCCCATGTGGCCAGCCCATTTCTATTCCTGTTGTGCTCATCTTGAGCCTCTGGGGCTTTGGCTGCCTACTGTCTTGGCTGCTCAGTGTCCATATCCTGTTTTGTAGATGAGGAAAAGGCCAAACAGGACCCATCTTATTACTTGAAAAATACCAATGCTGAGACCCGGGAGACACTACAGGAGCTCTACAAAGAGTTCAAAGGAGATGAGATTTTAGCAGCCACCATGAAGGCACCTGAGAAGAGGAAGGTGGACCAACTGAATGCTGTGAGTGGGTTGCTCTGTCTCTGCCTCTGAGCAGTGGAAAGATGCTGGGGAAGGTACTGACAGGGACAGACCTGGAGGTGTGGTGATTGGGACCTTCTCAGTCCTGTGGGACCCTCCAGGGCTCTTAAGGTATCCTGTTTCCAAACAAATCAAAAGGGAGTAATACACTCTTGGGGTGGAGGAATGTTTGACAAGTTGGGGTCCCGGGGCAGCAGTGGATCAGCAGAAGTAGGGTACTTTGTGCCATGGGCCCTGACCCAGGCTTCAGTGCCAAGCTACCATGTCTCTGGTATTCAGAGGCAGCTTCTCCATTTCAGGACAGAGATGGAAGGGAAGGTTGGGGCTGCTAGGGCTCCTGAGGTCTCAGATCTTGCCTAGGCCTTACCTGGAGCGCGGGTGCTGGTCTACCCAAGGTCCTGTCTGCCACTGTAGTGCTGGAGTTTCTCCAGCACATATAGCTTATAGGTGCTGTCCTTCTCCTCTTTAGGCAGAACCTAGAAAGCCTCAACCATGGGAAAGGCAGAGGTTACCTGGGAGAATTTGGAAAATTAACTAAAGTTCATTGTCCATAATTTCCCTATTTAAACATGGTCATTGAACCTCTCGGTATTACTATCATGTTGAACTGTCCTCATTTATTTTTCCTTCCTTCTATATAATGGAAAAAATACATTTATTTCCTCCCCCATTAAAGAGATCACATGTTTACTAAAAAAATATATTACTGGGTTATTAATATGTAATAACTGATTTGTAGTATATATGATCAGTGATTAAGAACACTTTTTGTCCTTATTGAGAACTCAGGTTTGGTTCCCAGCACCTACATCACAACTCACAACCATTCAGGGGACCTGACTCCCTCTGAGGGCACCAGGCATGCATGTGGTGCAGAAATATACATACAAACAGAACATGTGTACACATAATCATTTTGTTTGTGTTTTGTTTTTTAAGACAGGGTTTCTCTGTGTAGCCCTGGCTGTTTCTGGAACTCACTCTGTAGACCAGGCTGGCTTTGAATTCAACATAGATCTGACTGCCTCTGCCTCCAGAGTATTGGGATAAAAGGTGTGCATGGTCATGCAAAATGTTTGTTTTGTTTGGGTGTGCTATGTACGCTTTTAATTTCAGTACTCAGGAGGTAGAAGCAGACTGGTCTCTGAGTTTATAACAGCCAGAGCTATGTAGAAACTGTATCTCAAAAAACAAAAAACAATCAGAAAAGAAACCTTTAGAAATAAACTTCTAAGTGCCTTTCGATTCCTGTCTTGGGAGAAGGTAACCTGTGAAGTTTTTTCTGTCTTGATTTAGTTTGAGGCCTTGCTCTGATTCCTTCAACCAAGTCTTCAATTGTTTGTTTGTTTTTTGAAACCTGTCCTGGAGCTCCCTTTGTAGACCAGGCTGGCCTTGAACTTACAGAGATCCGCCTATCTCTGCCTCCTGGTGCTGGGATTAAAGGCGTGTGCCACCAACACTCAGCATACATGGTTTTTTTGCAGGCCCACTATTCCACAGGAAAGGTCAGTGCGTCCTTCACCTCTACTGCCATGGTACCTGAGACCATGCATGAAGCAGGTAGCTGTCTCTGCCTCCTCTGTTCACCTGGGCAGACCTCACATTGGGAACAGTTAGGGCTTCCTGCTTACTTGCCTCAGCATCCCCATTGTGCCTTCACGTGGAGTCTGATGGTCAGTAGTTGTGGGGGTGGGGGTGGGGGAGTTTTGTCGAAGGTGGGCTTTGTGTTAAGTCAGGAGGCATTCTGACCATAAGGTCTTGGCCCTTGCCTTGAAGTGTCCTGCTCTTAGTCTCTAGAGCCTCTAGCATCATATTTCCCTTGATATGATCTCCCTTAGCCTATGGCTCCTACATTCTTCTCAGAGCTGGGGGTTCCTGAGTGGAGGCGCTAGCTCAGGTAGAGGGCAAGTACAGAGCTCAGGACTTGTTTGCAGCCATCATTGATGAAGATGTACTGCGCTACCAGTTTGTGAAGAAGAAGGGCTATGTGAGGCTACACACCAATAAAGGCGACCTTAACCTAGAGTTGCACTGTGACCTGGTGAGTATGTGGCTGTTCCCAGGTGGTTTCTGGGGTATTTGGGTAGCCATGCCTTAAATATGGGACTGTAGTTAGTTTATTTCTAAGAAATGCTCCTGACTCTAGCTGAGAAGCAAAGTGCCCTGGTTTCTTTCCCTGGACTCTAAAGCACGCCTCCTTGGCTGCTGCTTGCTGTGTGTGTGTATACAAATCCTAGGAACAGGACTGGCTCCCACTCTGCCCTGCCCTGTGTCACATGGCTGTAGGACTGGTGCTCTGCTTTTGGAGGTCAGACTGAAGCTAGGTCTTCAAATAGAAGTTCCTGGTGTGATTAAAGACCTACTTGTCATTGTGACTGTGCTGTTGACCACTGTGCCTCATAGAATATTGGGATATTTTACAGACACCAAAAACCTGTGAAAACTTCATCAAACTCTGCAAGAAACAGTATTATGACGGCACCATCTTTCACAGGTCCATCAGGAACTTTGTGGTGAGTGGTACAAGTTGGTGCTGGCCACAGATGCTTGATGACATAGACAGCATCTGTGACCAAATGGGCTTGTACCTACCCTGACCCAGACACCTGGTTCAGGCTATATGTGGGCAAGGTAGAGTCTTCAGGTGTATCTTGTGCCAGGGATTCTGTAGCTGGCTCTTGAGTGCTTGCCCCTGTCTTCACTGTAGCACATGCCATCGGGAAGCATCAGAGCCAGTGACCTCACTGGGTTTTGTCTTTGCAGATCCAGGGTGGTGACCCCACAGGTACAGGAACAGGTAAGTGCTGGTGCCAGCCTGTTCCACTGGAGTAATGCATGTGGCTGTACTACAGGAACTGGCAGGAAGTTGGGTCTGCTGAAGGGCCCTAGATGTGGAATCTTTCAGACTTGGGGTTTGAGGGTGGCTTGTAACTTGGTGTCTGGCCTCCTGGGCCACCTGGGCATGCCCCATGCCCTAGTTTTCCCACAGTGAGGATCATTTCTTTTTTCCTAAGCCCGCGGTCCTATTATAACAAGACAGAGGAACCAACCTGCTGACTGACGGGAGATTTGGCCATGCACTCCTGTTATAATAATATAAGATGGCCTCGTGGCCCCCACAGGACGTAATAACTTTTTCCCCAAGCTTTCTACCCATGTGTTTGAATGATGCCTTGTAGCTTTGGCCTGGTAGCCCCTGGCCCATAGGGTGAGTGAGCTGTCCCAACTTGAGGAAGGCACTGGGATCTAGGGGTCATCAAGAATGTCTCAGGGCCTGGGCGCTCTCTTATGCTTCTGGACTAGGCTCTGTGGCTGACCACTGACCTACTATTCTGTTCCAGGTGGAGAGTCCTACTGGGGCAAGCCTTTCAAAGATGAATTCCGCCCCAACCTCTCACACACAGGCCGTGGGGTGCTCAGCATGGCCAACTCGGGGCCCAACACCAACAAGTCTCAGTTGTGAGTCCAGCTCTTCTTGCTTGGCTGCTGGGAAGGTTTGCAAAGCGCCTGGCATTCTTCCTAATGGTTGTTCTAGGCCCAAATCAAATCCAAGCAAGGTGGTGTTCAGCCAGGTGGAGCACAGGCCCCTCCAGGAAAGGAGCCCAAGTCAGTTGGTAGAATAGTGGTCGTGAGTAGGTCCCCAAAGGCCTCTTGGGGTATAGCAATAAAACCAGGAGTATGTGGGTGCCAGGTGTCATGCAAGGTGCTTTAGGAGGAGGTATTCTGAGAACAAGTGGTCAGGGAGAGGTGCTCATGTCTAAGGCTCTGGCTTGGAGCAAGGCCCAATATGTGTGGTGGTGGGTGGGTGGGTGGCAAGGCTCTTGGATGTCTGGTCTTGTGTTTTGGAATAGGTGTGTATTCTATTCTATTCTTCATCTAAGAATGTGGCTTAATTCTCTTGGATATGTCTTTTTTTTTTTTTCTTTTTTCTGGTCGTGAACCTAAGGCTTTGTGCATGCTAAATATATGTTTTACCATTGAGAACTGTCTCTATCCAGGGTATATCTTTAATCTGTGAGTATAGTTTTGTTATTTTCTTTTTTAAAAAAATATTTTGAAATCAGTTCTCATTATGTAATCCTGGCTCTTGTGGAACACACTGGATTCTGCCTGGGTGCTGTGTTTAAAAACCTTCACCATCAGGGCTGGAGAGATAGCTCAGTAGTTAAGAGCACTGGCTGTTCTTCCAGAAGATCTGGGTTTAATTCCCAGCACCCACATGGTGGCTTACAACTGTCTGTAACTCCAGTTCCAGGGAATCTCACACCCTCACACAGATAAGACACCAATGCACATAAAATAAAAATAAATAAATCTTTAAAAAATGTTTTGTCCATTTCTACTTGAAGTATATTGTTTGTGAAAGGGGTCTTTACTAACCGTAGCTACCATTTAAAAAAAACCACGTGCCCCTCCCAAATGACTGCAGCTTATTTTACGTGAGGGCGCTCGTGCCACAGTGTACGTGTGGGGTCAGATGGCAACCTTGTGGGGTCAGGAGTGTCCACCATGGCTGCCAGGCTTACACAGCAGGTGTCTTCACATGCCAAGCCAGCTTGTCAGCTCAGCTTTGTCATTTTCTTTATGTGGGTCTCTGTCTTCCTGGATAATGCTTACCCAAAGGAATTTTAGTGTTTGTGGGATTTTTATTGTTTTTTTTCAAGACAGGGTTTCTCTATGTAGTTTTGGTGTCTTGTAACTAGCTCTATAGACCAAGTTGGCCTTGAACTCATAAACGTCTGCCTGCCTGCCTCTGCCTCCTGAGTAGTGGGAATAAAGGTGTGGGCCACCACAACCAACTTACATTGATACAAAGTTTCATTATGTAGCAATGATTGGTTGTACTGGAACTCTGCCTTGGAGCATTGAGATTGCAAGTGTGGTCCATCACAGCTACAGTCAAATCATGTTTTTATTTATTTATTTATTTTTATGTGCATTGATTGGTGTATGCCTGCTTGTATCTCTGTATGAGGGTATCGGATCTTGTGTTACAGACATTTGTGAGCTGCCTTGTGGGTGCTGGCATTGAATCTGGGTCTTCTGGAAAAGTAGTCAGTGTTCTTTAATTGCTGAGCCAGTTCTCCAGCCCCTACAATCAAATCTTAAAAAAAAAAAAAAAAAAAAAATTAAACTTTTTAGACGGGAAGTGGTAGCACACACCTTTTATCCTAGCATTTGGGAGGCAGAGGCAAGTGGATCATGAGTGTTTTGCTTACATGTATGTCTGTATAGTGCATATAAGTTTGTGCCCCATGCCAGAGGAGGCCAGAAGAGGGCATTAGTCCCTGGAACTGGAGTTACAGGTGATTGTAAGTTTAAGTGCTGAGAATAGAACTCTGGTCTTGGAAGAGCAACCATTGCTTTTAATTGCTGAGTCATTTCTCTTCATTTATATGAAGAGTTTCTTTGTAGATATTTGAGTTTATCAGAGGAGACATCTTCGACTTCCCATGTGCACATCAGGTAGGCACATGTGTGTCCTACTGCTCCCCAGATGAAATGTGGTTTTGTAGTCTAACGTTTGTCACAGGGCTTGGATCTCAGGATAGATGGCTGAGTTGCCAGAGGTCTAGTTTTTAATATCTGTCTCTTAGTCATATGATCGAGCTGTTGCTGTTGGGTATAGACAGAAGAGGTGTGCACATAAAATAATCTTGGCACTGGCCGAGTTTGTACCCTGAAAGATCTGCAGTTACTTGTGTCTGCCGAGCCTTTCTCCAGGCGTGTGACAGCTTTTCTTTGTCAGCATTTCCTTAACAATCTTCTCAAAAACTTAAGCAAAACAGAAATATTTCCGTTGCATTTTTTGTTTTCTTTTTTGCTGTTTCTTCCCTCTTGTTTTTTTTTTTTTTTTTTTTTCAGGTTCATTATTTTTCTAGCTTCCTTTATTATGTTAGAAATTCAAGAGCGCTCAGTGTAGGGGCAGTAGGATCAGTTCAGTCACCCTTGGTTCCATAGTGTAGCCAAACCAACAGCAGTAACAAGAGTGCCCTGCCAGTGTGCATAGGTGTGGGCTCCAGGACTTGCCCGGTGGCCTCAGGTGTGCCCTTACTTGCTGGGTGATGCATCTTTATTACAGCTTGCAGATTCAGTCCACTGTGGCTCACTGAGGGGTCTGTGTGGGCTGTCAGGATGAAGCTTGTGTCCTGTTGTCACAGTAGAACTGAGTCCACCTACCACTTTGTGTAGGGACCACATACTTCCTGCCTGCAACCCATCCCATAGACTTCCTACTTTCCATGGTATTTATTTAGAGATGAGGTCTCACTGTGTAACTCAGGCTGCTCTGGAGCTCAGCCTCCTGTGCTAGGGTTGCAGATGTGAGTCCCCATACCCAGTTGTGCTTTCTTTTGTCTGATGTCTTCCAGTGCTCTGCTGTCACCCACTTACGGTCTGTAATCTAGGGCTTCCTCCAGGCAGCACACACACACACGGCCTGTTTACTTCACCCCTAAACACTGCCTTCCTGCAAATAGTCTGATAGCAAGCTCAAGCCTCCACTGTCTCCTGCTTGGCTCTGGGATGTTGCCAGCTGAACTCTGGGCTTTCTCCAGAGGTCTGGATTTACCTGGGAAAGGGCGCAGGTGGCTTCTACTGAGGAGCACAGTGGGTGGGCCAGCATGCTGCTTCCCTGACCTCCATGTGATTTCCACAGCTTCATCACGTTCCGCTCCTGTGCTTACCTGGACAAGAAGCACACCATCTTCGGACGGTAAGTAAGAGCAGATGCTGTGCATGTTTGCAGTGCAGAGTGTGGGCCTTCACTGCCTTTTCCTAGATATGGGTATTATCCTCATAGAGTTCCTGCTGAGGACTGTGGAGTCAAGGAGAGGAGACAGACCCAAGTGGCTCTAGCTCCTCTTTCCTCTCAGGTCATATTTCTGGGTATCTGAAGAACATTCCCTCTCTCCTCAGCCCCTATTCTGAGTGTCAGCATAATTTCCCAAAGGACACACAGTTTGTGCTGACTGACGAGTCAGTTACAGAGTAATGGGGGAAAGAGAGGTAGGTAGATTAGTTCCTGGCCAGCCTGGATTATATAAGACCCTGCTTTAGCAAACTGGGGGAAAACAAATTATAGAAACAAGGACTTCAATTTTGTTCAAGTCAGATTTTAGCCAGGAGGGTGTGGTGTGCTGCCCCCTTCTCTGTCTTGGCTCATCTTGCCCTGCCTGGTGCCCAGTGTGGCCTCTGAAGCCCTCCACCATCTGCCAGTCCTCCTGGTATGCCTTGACACTGCCATGATGCTACTCTGCTCAGGGTACACAGAGACCCAGCTCTGTCCCTCTGCTACAGGGTTGTTGGGGGTTTTGACACGCTGACAGCTATGGAGAATGTGGAGAGTGACCCCAAAACTGACCGTCCTAAGGTATGTACCAAGGTAGAACAGACCACTGCCTACTGGGTGCTGGTTGGAGGAATCTGCTGTTCACAGAGCTTTTCTGCTTCAGGAGGAAGTGTGTATATGTGCAACCACAGTGTTTGTGGACCCCTATGAAGAGGCTGATGCCCAGGTGAGTTATGTTGGTTGGGAGCAGGTGGACACACTGAGGCTCTGGGTCAGACATTGCCCTCTCTCCTAGCTAGGAATGAGAAGACCCCACCCTGGGTCTCTGGATCAGACATTTTTGCTACCCCCAGATTGCCCAGGAGCGGAAGAAAACACAGCAGCAAATGGATCCAGAGGCTAAGGTCAAGATGAGCCAGCCCCAGCCTGGGAACCAGGGCCCCCAGACATACCGCCAGGGGGTGGGCAAGTACATCAACCCAGCAGTCACGTGAGTGTGTTTGATGGGTGGCATCTCTCATCTCTCTCTAGAAGCTGGGACCCCTCTTCATAGTGCTCCCGGGGGAGGTGACCAGGTGGTGGCAAGAATAACACAGATCAGGCTGGAGAGTACAGCGAAGGGGTCTGGACAAGGCGGCCAACAACGCTTTAGTGGCTGGGATTGTGGGAGCAGCACTGGTAGAGAGGGCACTTCTGAAGAGGAAGCTGTCTGTAGCACTTTCTCAGAGGACTCGAGTATGGGCTTCTGGCTCTTTGGTGCCAACTGGAGTAGCTTTCTTTGTGTCTCAGGAAACGAGCAGCAGAAGAAGAGCCATCAACCAGCACAGTTGTGCCCATGGCCAAGAAGAAGCCCAGCCAGGGCTTCGGAGACTTCAGCTCCTGGTAGCAGCAGGCTGGCTCATGGATCCTGGTAGGGTGCAGGGCTGTGGGCTTCAAGGTCTGTCTCTGAACCGTCTGCCCTTGTCAGTTTGAGCTAAGAGCCAATAAACCTCTTGCCTGTGGCTGGGCCCCATTTTGGCCCCTGGGATCCCTGGCCTCCTCATCCCTTGTCTTGGGTCCCTACCTGTGCTCTAGTGCCACCACAATTACCAAGGGGCTGCTATGATCCCAGCATTCAGAATACCAAGGCAGGAGGGTTGAATGTTCAAGGCTAACCTGGGCTATATAGGGAGACCGTGCTTGTGCTCCCAGGCTATTTTGACAAGATCCCATGGCTTCCTTCTGTTGATACCACTTCCACAGCACTGGCACTGTCCCTTGCTTGGGACAGGCATGCTCAATGGCCAGTCTTCTCAGTTGCTTTCTGTACCAGCCATACATGAAGAGGTGGCCTCCCTGCTGACTCCTTTCTCCAACTCCTTGTTTTGTTTCACTGTGTACCCTTGGCTGTCCTGAAACTTACTCTGTAAGATCAGGCTGGCCTTGAACTCACAGATCACCTGCCTCTACCTCCCCAAGTGCTGGGATTAAAGGCATGTGCTGTGCCTGGCTTACCAACCCTTTTTGATTCCAGGACAGTTGTCTGCCCTGAAAAGGGTATTGCCATTGGCTTTTATATATCCACACATACCCATCTGTTCATCATTGCTTTGCCTTCCATCTTGGACCTGTGCTGGCTTTCCCTAGCTGCCTCTTCAGATTGTCCCCTCCGGAGGCAGTGTCCTGTCAGTAATCACTTGATGTTTAGCCTGTCTAGGGCTCTCCTGTCCTTGGGTCACCACTCCTTAGAGCATGTCACATTTACATTGTAACGTAGGCTTGATTCCTGTTTTTTTCTTATCTTGCCCCAAACCTTGGTTCTGTTCGTCTGATGTTAAAACCACAGCACAAGCCTTTTGTATTTCTGGGAGATGGACAGCATCCATCCTGACTGCCCTGCCCCCTCAGGGCCCCTTCCAGCTGCTGTTGCATGATCTCCAGGTGTGACTGCCACTCACCACTGGCTGTTCTTGAGGCAAAAATGAGGTCTGTTCCTCGCTCACAGGCCAGCTACCCTTCTCCAGCCCAGCTCCACTAAGCCACCTGCCTGAGGATGTCAGTTCAAACTCCATGTTGTCCTTCCACCCTGCCTTCCTCTACCTTTCAGGACCCCTCCTCTGCTGTAGGGAAGCTGATATTTCACAACTATGACAGGTCATGGGGGTGAGGACAGACACAGTGGCACTAAAATAAGAACAAACAAAAGCTAGAGAGTCAAGGGCGCTGGACAGAGAGCAGTGTCTGACTGCATTCTCATCCTTTTCTCAGGCCACCCTGCAAGCCCCTACAAGGTGGTGTCCTCAAGGGCTTTGCAACCCTCACACATCTTTTGTTCCCAGTGGATGCTTCAAGAAAGTGTGGTCATCCCTCTGCGGTGAGGCCTCGCCTCCAAGACAGCGAGCACTCTGGAAACCTTGCTGACAACAGCAGCTTTATTTCTGTCCCTCAAAGACAGGCTACCAAGGGCGACAGCTTTGCCAGGGACAGGGAGGCCAAGGGCATTTTGTATGCTTGAGCTTGGTGGTCCTGCTATTCAAGGTGAACTCGAAGTTGCTCCCAGGTCTCTGTCCACCAGCCTTACCAGCAGCCACTCTTCCATCCCTATCTTCCAGGAGAGAGGACAGGCCCCACCTGGGCTTGCATTTCCACGGCTTGTACAGAGCTTAAATGGTAGCTTTTTAGATAGTAATGACACTTGGATTTTGAAAACTGCCTGATGAGGTCATCAGAAAATAAAGGACATTTTTAAAGAAAAGAAAATCTCATTGATGATCGTTTCAAATACCCGACTGATGCCATCAAGAGTAAGCACTAAAGTATAAAAATATTATGTATATGCTAACAAGACAGCAACAGAATAATGCACATTTCTAAAGTGGAGCAGTGTTTGTGACCTGGTGTCACCTCCCACTGCTCTGAAGAAAACATCTCTACACAGTTACAGAATGACCCTGTGCAGATAAGAAAGAAGGTGGGTAGTTTCACAGGTACCAGCACATCTGGTGGTTTTGCATCTCTTCCCTGAAGCCAGAGCTCATGGTCAGTTCTTTTGATTTAAAAATTTTATATATCACAGAAGGCCAACATAAAAATCCAAAAAACTCCATAAAGGTTTCGTTGATATCCATTACCCCCCAATACGAAATAAGTCATAAAGAGTACTAGTAAAAAAATTTCCAATCAATGCTATCACAAAAGACAATACAAAGTGCTCAAGTAGAAGGGCAGAAAGCTTGCCCAGAACATAAAAAAAGCTGTAGATATAATCTTAGTATATACAGAAACTGGTCAGAAGGATTCTGGGTTCTTCAATTTAAGTGAAGCATTCATGGGGAGATTGGAGATATATATATATATATATATATATCTCCATACACTCAGAGTGCCCTCACCTTTCCTCCCATTGGTTACATACATATGGTCTCTACCAAGTTCCCAATTGCAAGACTATTGAGAACTAGCCAGGGTGCTGACTGTTGGCTAGTGTTCATTCTAGACAAAGATGGAGTCTGGGCCCTGCTAGATTTCACATGGACTAGCTGCCTGTGCTGAACTTCATCAGTTACCTTACTGGGTAGAGTAACCTTGCTTTGGCTTAGTCTAGAGGGAACCAGGACATAACTGGGGAGAGCAGCTTCGGCCAGGACCAGGCTTAGAGGCTCACAGACTGTGCAAACATGTCTTCCACCAGGCTTTCAAACTTGGGTAAAGTTGTGGCTCCACAATGTGGGCCTTGGAGGAGTGAGCAGGGAGCTGGAGCAGCTGAGTGAAGAAGTGCCTGTGCTGGCCAGAGGATCTGGGCTTAGAAGGTTTGGGGCTGGGAGTCCAGAGGACTAGAAGCTGCTCTGGACTAAGCACACCTCAGGCAACAGCTGCGGCTTTGCCATGCTGCTTTCCCAGCTTAAGGTGCTTAGCCTTCCCAGGCCTTCTTCCTGCTCTTCTGCCCTGTGTTCAGTACAAAACGATGAAACAAACTATCTGGGAATGGTTCTGCCCTCTGTGGAGGATTATGAATTGTGACTTAAAATCTGTGAGATGTAGGGCCTGTGGGATGGCCCGGATCCCTCTGTCAGGTCATGAGGTGATCCCAGGCAGGAAAGGCAGCTCCCACACTAAGATAACTCATCTTAAGTTCTGAAGTTTCCTGTGCTGGCTCCACCCTCTGTATGCATGACTAATGATACGTATTTCAAGTACATCCAGGGATAACGTGAACCCCAGCCTGCTGCTCTATGACAGGGACCAGCCCCATATATGAGCTGCTGTGCTGTAGCAACACTGTGGGGACACCTCAGTGGCAGCCTTCTGTAGGCCTGGGGACAGAATTCTTAGCCACTAGTCAAGGGCTTTCTACACAAGGGAATGGGACTGTTGGCTTAAATAAAGCACACTAAACCTTTCTTCCTTGGCTTCTCTAACACGTTACCAGTGGCTACTTTCAGTTTAAAGCCATATGCTTCACATGCAAATCTGTTGACTATTTCTGGAAGATTCTTAAGTGGTCACTATGCCTTGCTTGTGAGAGAGACCCTTTTTCTGTGCTTCTAGGGACTTGGATTTGGTGAAGACACAGCCAGACTATGTTCAAGGCGTAGTGTACAGTTATTAACTAGGCAGGTGAGTCATCAGTTGGTTATTTCCTTCTCTAGAATGTAAGAAGTTAGAAAAAGAATTGCAAACTTCCAGAAACAACTGTACAAGAAGGGGGCTCAGATGGGGGCACCTTACCCAGTGAACAGCCTAGAGAGAAGGCCTCCAAGTGTTGAACTGGGCTAGCCTGTGAGGTCAAAGTCCAAGAAGTATTGTCCCAGGCCTTCGTCACACTCAGCTTTCATAACAGTATTGGGACAGGAGTGGACTGCTTCGATCTATTCCCAGCCATTGTCTTTGATCATGTGGGCAAGTTCAATAATAAATTTTCCTTCTTTGTATTTCTGACTGCTCTCAAAGGCATGTTCCTTGAGGGGAAAAATAGAAAGAAGGTTTCAGGACACGCTCTTATTTTCCTGCTCTACTATACTCTTGGTAGACAGTGGAGTTTGTAGCATTATCTCCACTCAGACATTCTCTGAGCTGTGCACTGACTCAGGCCCAGGAGGACCCATGGGTCAGTACAGGATGATTTTGAATGGCTCGTCATACTTAGGAACAGTGTTAACCTGTTTCCGGGGCTGCAGCTCAGTATGTGCCGTTTGTTATGCCTGTGGCTCTGCGCTCCATCCCCAGCACCACAAACACACTGTTCACTTGTCAGTGATTGTATGTCAGGAGGTGTGGAGGAGAGTGACAGGAATAGACAGTCATTCACACGCAGGTGAGGCTGGGACATGTGTGTTTGTGTGTGTGTGTCAGGAGGTGTGGAGGAGAGTAATAGGAACAGACAACTGCTCATAGGCGTTTATGTGCGTGAGAATGTGCGTGCATGTGTGCCAGAGATTGATGTTTTGATTGCCCTCCATTTTAAGTTTTATTAATTATTTTTATTATTATTATGGGGGGCAGACATGTCACAGCATGTGTGTAGCGGTCAGAGGACAGCAGCTGGGAGTCTTCTCCTTCTATCATGGGTTCTGCGGAGAGAACTCAGGTCATCAGGCTTATGTGGCTGTTATCTCACCTGCTGAGCCATCCTGTCAGCTCTCCATTTGATTTGATTGGTTGATGTTATTTTTATTATATGGGTGTATCCCTGTTTGTCTCCTTTGCATATATGTCTATGCATCATGCCCATGCAGTTCCCATGGAGGCTAGAAGGTGGCGCTGGATCCCCTGGAACTTGTGAGCTGTCTGCTGTGGGTGCTGGGAATTGAACTGGGGTTCTCTGAAAGAGCAGTTAATGTTAACTGCTGAGCCCTGTGTCTCCAATCCTCTTTGTTTTATTTTTTATTTTTTTTTTTTATTTTGGTTTTTGAGACAGGGTTTCTCTGTGTAGCTTTGGAGCCTGTCCTGGAACTCACTCTGCAGACCAGGCTGGCCTTGAACTCACAGATCCACCTGCTTCTGTCTCCGAGTGCTGGATGAAAGGCGTGCACCACTACCACCCAGTAAATTTTTTTATTTTATTTGTGCATATTTTATGTATGAGTGCCCTGCATGTACATCAGCCAGTACTTTAGCCCTTGAGCCATCTCTCCAGCCCCATTGCTTTATTTTTTGAGACAAGAACTTACATTGAACCTAGGGCTCACTAATTCAGCAACCTGCTTGTCTCCTCACCACTGGGATTATGGGCATATGCTGTCACACCTTGCCTTCTACATATGTGACACTGATCTGAACTCATGTTCTTGCCTGCATAGCAAGCACTTTCCCAACTGAACCATCTTCCCAGCCCAAGAGCTGGGAGTATGGACTATGACCATGAATGCTCCCTTAGCATTTATAACATGTGGCTTGGTGAGGTGCATTGTCTGGGATGAGCCCTGGTGGTTGGAAAGAACTCCCAGCAGTGCATCAGTGGTCAGCAGCATGCCCACTACAAGGGAGGACAAAAGAGGGGCTTGGAGACACAGGGCCAAGCAGGTGAGGGGCTGGGGCTCCCAGAGCCAATGCTTTGTGGGGTTGTGTCTAGTTCATGAAAAGGAAAGAGCAGGCCATCATGGTCTATGAGAATCCAGAAGTCAAAAGAAGGCACAGGGCTGGGAATATTGTTCAGTGGATAAAATACTGTCCACACAAGCATGAGGGCTACAGTTTGGTTCCCTAAGTCCCATGTAAGAACAGGTCAGATGTGGCAGCTGCCTATAGTCACAGAGCTTGGGAGGCAGACGGGATCCCTGGGTCCCAATGGCTAACTGAAGACTATCAGAATCTGCACTTAGGAAGACACTGCCTTAGCCAATTATGCAGAGATTGAGGAGACATCAGACAGCAGCTTCTGACTCCCAGGTGTACACATGGGAACATGCATACAGAAGTGTGCACATCACACACATACATGGGAATATACATACAGATGTGGGCATGTCTCACACACATGGGAACATGCATACAGAAGTGTGCACATCACACACATACATGGGAATATACATACAGATGTGGGCATGTCTCACACACATGGGAACATGCATACAGAAGTGTGCACATCACACACATACATGGGAATGTGCATACAGATGTGGGCATGTCTCACACACATGGGAACATGGATACAGAAGTATATACTTCATACATCTCCAAAGCAATACAGAGAAACCCTGTCTCAAAAAACAAACAAACAAAAACCCAAAAAAAGAAAACAACAACAGTAACAACAAGAAAACCCACACATACATAAGGGAACATGTATAATGTCACACACATGGGAACACAAGGAAGTGTGTAGGTTACACTTACAGGGAACGTGTATACAGAAATGTGTACTTTACATACAGAAGTGTGTACTTCACACACACACACACACACACACACACACACACGAACATGCACACAGAAGTGTACAACTATCTCACACATACATGGGATTGCACGTGCATGTGTGTGCTGTGGCACTCAAAGGAAAAGTGGCAAGAGCTAGTTCTGTCTTCCCCATGTGGACCCAGGGTCAGACCCAGGCTGTCTCTCAGGCTTGGTGGCAGGCGCTTTTAACCACTGAGCTGTGTTATGAAGTTGTGGGGACTTTGAGGCACTACCCGCTGAGCTGTGTCCCCATGGGAACCAGCAGTGTTTGAATGATACTATCATCCCTCTCCAAGACCAGGTACTCACATATTTCCACCCGAGTGTAGTCTTGCAGTTCTCACAGTAGATGTCAGCCACTGCATGCAGCCCAGTTAGAAGGACTCTCTCCTCAGCGGGGCCGCAGCCCACATTCACCCTGTCAAGACACAGGGTGACTGTGCTGGAGGTCCCCTTGTTCAGTCCCCTTTCCCCTCGCCCCACATTAAGAACAGAATTCCACATCATCACAGGCATTTCAGCTCTCCTACCCCACTTAATTTTTTTTTTTTTTTCTTCATGGTGTTCAAGATGAAACCTAGAGCCTCCCACATGCTGAGCAAACACTCTACTACTGAGCCACACCCAGCCCACCAAGGGAATCTGGCTTGGAGGCTAAACTCTCAGACACAACAACTGTGCTTTCAAAACAGATGCAGGAGGCTAGATTCTTCCCAGCTGATCAAGGCACTGGTGCAGCTCACTTACAACCCCAGCTCTTAACAACTAAGCAGGCCAAGGGACAGAGTTAGGCACACTAGTGACAGCACGTACTCACACAGAGTTGAAGAGGTAGGCTCGCCCCTGACTCCCCTGAAAGGACTGCAAAGAAGAAGAAGGTGTTAGTAGGAGGTCAGGCAATGTGCCAGAAGCTCTGCTTTCTGGGATGTTGGAGGAGCAGGCCACCAGTCACCCCCACAAGTGGAACCCCTGAAGTCCTGTGGATTGTGCATGCATCTTCTGGGACAGGTTACAAAAGCACACGGCAGATACTGCCTCCAGAAAGAGGATGGGGTATCATTGTGCAATTGTCTGCATTATAAATTCACAGCATACCAGAGCTACACACTGGGACTACCTGCAGCCCCAGTTATAAAGACTTAGGTAGGAGAAATGCTTCAACTTGGGTTCAAGGCTGGCCTGGATAACAGTTAAGAGAAAGTCATAGCTAATCAGCTTTAAACAATAGGCTCTGTATGCTTACATGGCTGCACCCAGAGATTCTAGGGGTCCTACAGATAACACCTCTTTATTTAAACTCTCTTTCTCTGTGTATGTGTTTAAGTATGGGCACCATGTGCATGAACGAACCCATGGAAGTCAGAAGAGGGTAATGGACCCCTTTGAACTGAAGTTGAAGGAAGTTATGAGCCACACGATGTTGGTGCTGGGAACCCAATTTAGGCCTTCTGCAGAGTGGTAAGCACTTTGTAACGTTGAGCTGTCTCTCTGGCCACCTTATTATCTCACTATCTTCAGGTATTAGGGGACAAAGGGAAGTTTCTGTACTTTTCCCAGTGACATTAAAGAAGAAGAAAACAAAAAGTCTGTAATTCTAGCCCTCAGGAGCAGAGGCAGGATGGCCACCACAGGTTTAAGGCCAGCCTGACCCACATTGCGAGTTCCAAGCTAGCCAGGGCTACACGGCTAGACCCTGCCTCAGAAAAACTGGAAACAAAGTCACATCCTATACCTGGTGTGGTGGCCTGTGCCTGTAGCTCAGCTACTTGGGAGGCTGAGCCATGGTCTGTTGAGGCCCAGCAGTTGAAAGCACGCACGGCCTTACAGAGGATCTGAGGGGTGTCCCCACAGTTACTTTTGGGTGTTCACAACCCTGCAACTCTAGTTGCAGGGGATCTGATACCTCTGATCTCTGAGAACACCTACACCCAAAAGGTTAAAAGCCGAGTATGGGGCTGGAGGTGGCTCAGCGGTTAAGAACACTGGCTGTTCTTGCAGAGGGCCTGGCTTTGAATCTCAGCACCCATGGTGGCTCACAACCATCTGTAACTCCAGTCTCTGGGGATTCAATCCCTTTCTGACCTCAGCAGGCACCAGGCAAAAGACTCATCCTTGTAATACCTTTAAATTAAAAATAAGCCAGGTAGTGGTGGTGCATGCCTTTAATCTCAGGAGGTCTACAGAGCTAGTTCTAGGACAGCCAGGCCTATACAAAGAAACCGTTTTGACAACACCCTCCCAAAAAAAAAAAAAAAAAAAAAAAAAAAAACCAACAAATCTTGAGCGTGGCTGCTTGCTCCTGTGATCTCAGTGCTGGGGAGGAGACAAGAGGACCCTTGGGGTTTGCTGGATCTGAGAGCCTCCAGGTTCAGGGAAAGACCTTGTCTTGAAAACTAAAGCTGGGCACCCAAGCTCTCTGCCACCTCACTATGTCCCAGCCTACCCAGATTTTGATTTTAAAATACAGATTTCAGGCAGGCATAATGGTGAATGTCTTTAATGCTGTTTGGGAGACAGAGCCAGCTTATGGATCTGAGTTTGAGGCCAGTCTGGTCTATAGAGTGAGTTCCAGGACAGCTAGGGCTGCACAGAGAAAACAAACTAAATCAATTAAATACAGAGTTCATGTTTAAAAGGAGTATCTCCTAAAGTGATTTTGTAGGACTATGAGAATCAATTCTATGTACACTTTTCAGTTTAACTAACACTCATCTCTAGACTTTTTTATATACCCCTCAGCCTAATTCTTTCTTTGCTTTCAGCTTCTGCAAGCCCTCCACTTTCCACAGGGCTTTCCTCAGTGATAGAGAAGTTTATGAAGGGCAGCCAGAAGAGGTGACTCTGGAGACATTAGCACAAGTCATCTGAGGAGGCTGGAGGCATGAGCACACCCGCGAGTCAGCTGTTGGGAAGGGCCAGATATGCTGGAGCACAACTTGAATCCCAGCACCCAGGACACAGAGGCAGGAGGATCTCTTGAGTTCTAGATCAGCCTGGGCTACATAGTGAGACCATTTTTTTTAAAGAGGGAGGGGCTTCTGTGACCAGAGGGTTCCTTGTTAAGTGACAAATATGGGCCCAGAGACTGGTGAACTAACTTTCATGGAGGTGACTCTAGTTCACAGTGTGCTGGAATCTCTCATGGCATGTGGTCTTCGGTTTCCCTAGCCCTAAGCAGAAAGACCACCAGGAGCAGAGCACTTGCCATGGCTGTCACTGATATCTGGATCCTGAATGTGCTGTTGCTGGCAGGGGCGGGAACCAATGGAAGGAAGTTAGGTCACCTCAGGCAAACCTGGAAGGCTACTGCCACACTTGTCTCTCCCTCGTTGCTTTCCACTCTCTCCGGCACATAGTCCTACGTGGGAGGGGGGCACCTCTGAAACCGTAAGACAGATGCGTCTTTTCTTATTGGGCTGATTTTCTCAGGTGCCCTTGTTGCGGGAATACAGTTAAAGTCACCCTCACTATCACTAGCTCGGATGAAGGTTTCGTATCTCTTGGGAGTCTGTGTACCTTTAAGAATTTTATTTGTGGCATCTTCCAAATTGAAATGCTTATCTGATGCCATGGGTAAGTTTCAAATCACTCACTTTCCAGCACTCTTCTGTTCATGCAATTTTTAAAACAGCTAATGTCAAAATCTTTTCCCAAATTTCTTTTGTGCCCCCTCCCATGATGGATGTGCCTGGCACAAAAGTGGCCGTACATGGTCCCTGACTCTCACTACTGGCTCAAGTGACAGATCTTGGCAAATAGCAGTTGTCACCAAGTTGCCAAAGCCATGTCACGTGTCATTCCCAACCAGTTCTGCGTGTCATTACCTTATGACTTTTTTTTTTTTTTTTTTTTTTTTTTTTTTTTGCTTTTCAAGGCAGGGTCTTACTCTGTAGACAAGGCTGTCCTCGAACTCACAGAGATCCTTTTGCCTCTGCTTCCCAGTGCTGGGACTAGAGGCATGTGAGCCTTGTTGTATCAGTTTCAAATCCAGATCACTTGCCTTGGAGATGAGCTCATCATGATTGGCCAGATGGGCTCTGCAGTGGATACAGCTGTAAGTTCTGTGACAGTGTGGCAGATAAGCCTGGAAAGTTTTGGACTTGGTCATTTTCACCATGTCTGCTGGGCGCTGGTCACTCAGCTCCAGACCAGCACTGGAGGAGCTATGGCTCTGTTGGACTCTCTGACAAAAGAAACACTGGAAAATACACGCAAGAGCCGTTGCTGTTCTGGAGGGCGTGTGGTAGTGTCCACACACTGGAGCAAGAGAAAAACAGTGCAACCTGCAAACAAATCAGACAGGCTCTGGTTTATACAACAGCAGCAGACACGAGAGGAGGTGTGTCAGGGCTCAGGTAATCTGAACAGGGCACAGGCCTCAAAGCTAAACATCTAACTCCTCCACCCTAAGTTGCAGTGCTGAGGGTCAGGGCCAGGAGATTGTGCATAGGAGGTACCAGCGGGTCACTGAGCTACATCCTCCGCCCCAGATATCTTTTGTCTTAAGGTTCTGCTTTTTTCAGGCAGGGTCTCACTCAAGCGCAGACTGGTCTGAATGCTCCTGCCTCAGTCTCTGAGAGCCAATCTTTACATGTACACTTAATGTTGTAAGCATGTGTTTCACAGAGACAAGCATGTTTGTGGCTCTGCACTGTGACAAGTAACCCCTATTTTACTTGGTAGTATGCTCACTGCAAATTAAAGGGTTTTTTATTCCAATCTTTGTATACGAGTATGAGCAATGTATGTATGTGCATATGTGTGTGTAGGTATATGTGCTGGGGATCAATATTTGGTGTCATTCTCAACCATTCTCCACCTCATTTGAAAAAATTATCACTATTTGTGTGTGTGTGAGCATGTGTACATGTACATGAGGCCGTGCCTCCTGCAGTGCTGCAGTGCAGGGGATGGCACCTGTTTAGGCACAGTGCTGAGGAAGATGGCAGTTAGAGGGGAGTGACCCAGGTCCACACTGCTCATTTGAAAGTGGAGAAACCAAGGCACAAAGCATAGGCGCCTAGAGCAGGCCAGCTGCTCACCCAGCCATGCCATTATCTACATATCTACATTAGTTATAGTGCTGAGTGACTCCAGAGCCACCTCTTACTGCCTGTTTTCAATTGTTCCTCAACTTGACCTTGCTCCCTCTTCCTTGATCTGTCACCTTAGCTTAGTGATGGGAGTGGTCTGAGGTTTACTATGATGACTGTGTCCCACATAGCTTCCATCTAAGACCAGCGTCCCTTGTCTGAGTTTCATGAACTAGCAAGTGCCCAGCAGACACAAAAGGGTTATTTCCCATGTAAATAATTAAGAAAATAGAGGAAAAAAACCATTTTATAAAATATACTGTTTGGCTCTGGGACTCATGAAGCGCTAGCTAACAAGGCTCTTGAGTGACACGTCCCAGATCCTAAACTGTCACGACATAGCAGGGTAGCAATCATGAATGACAGACCTAACGTGACTGACTAATCCTTAATATATTACTTGCCAGTTCAGAAAAAAGCAACCCCCTCACATTAGGCAGATGCTGTCTTGCTTCTTTGCAGCACTGGGAATGGGAGTCTGGGTCTTGCATATGCTAGGCCAGTGAGCCCCAGTGAGATCATCTGTACTCTGTATTTTTAGTGTGTGTGTGTGCATGTGCACATGTGTGTATGGGGGTGTGCATGTGGAGAGCAGAGATCAACCTTGGGTGTCATACATAAGTCACCAAACTGTCTTTGTCTTGGAGGTCTATTTTTATTTTATGTGTAGTATTTGCCTGCATGTGTGTCTATGCACTATGTGCATGCAGTACCTGTGGCTGCCAGAAGAGGGCATTGGGTCCTCTGGAACTGAAGTTACAAATGGATGGGAACTGCCATATTGGTGCTGGGAATCAAGCCCAGGTCCTTTTCGAAGAGCTGTCTACACCCCCCCCCCCTTTTTTTTACTTCATCATTGTTGTGTTTTATATGTGTGAGTGTAGGCATGCACAGATCATGACACACATGAAGAGGTCAGAGGGCAGCTTTTAGAAATTGGTTTGTCTCCTTCCATCATGTTAATGTGGCTCTCTTGTTTCTACTCTCTGCATATTCCACACTAGCTGGCTCACAGCTTCTCATCTCACCACAGCAGGGATGCAGTTCAACAGGAGGTGATACATCTGGCTTTCTGGAGGTTCTAGAAATGGACTCAGATTTTCAGTCTTGCATAGCAAGAGCTCTTACCTATTGAGCCATCTCACCAGCCCTCCTTGTTTGAAATAGGGTCCCTCACTGGCCTGGAGCTTGCCAGTCTGTCACTGGTGTTGGGATTATAGCATGTGTTACACGTCCTGCATCCATCCTTCCTTGTGCCCTGCCCAGGACCAGGCCGCAGGCTGCATCCAGAGAGCTACAAGATGAGACCTACTTCTGCCACGTGGGCCTGATTCCTCTCTCAGAGCTTCCCTCCCCAGTGCTTGTGCCCTTGGGTCTAGCACTCTGGAGTCCCCACCATTCTGTTTTCTGTCCACAGCATTAACAACCATTTTGGTAAATGACTTATTTCCAACAATCCATCTAATGCTCTTCATGCTGTGTTGCTTTGAACCCATATCCAAGACCTTTCATTCCCCATCATTTTTTTCTTAAAACCTTTAAGTCTTTCAACATAGCTCACGTTGGCCTCAAATCTGTTAGCCTTTGTCCAGTCTCCTAAGCACTAGCTGGGATTTCATGCATGAACTAACTATGCCCAGTTTCCAAATGGGTCTTTTAAAAGATGGAAAGGAACTATTGAGATGGCTCAGTGAGTAAAGACGTTAAAATGGGACGAACAGAGCACATATCCATAAAACATGTGAGCACACACTAGAAGGCAATCAAACACACAGTTGGTAGACAGGGGTTGGCAAGCTGATGCAAGGCCTTGTAGAAGGTAACCCTGTGGACTCCTCCACCTTTGTCTTTAGCCTCCACAGTTCATTGTTCCAGCAGTCAGATGTAGTGCGTTTTGGGGGCAGCAGAACATCTCAAGTTCTCCCAGGCTGCCTTCCATTCCAGTCTTATTCAAAAACATTGGGTAATTGTGCCCTTCCACAGTCCCCCATCTAGACAACACTTAATTTGGTGGTGTTCATCTATTATGGCAGCTCTAACTTGTGTGGCCCTAAATAACACCACTGTGCCTTCCAAGTTGTGCTCTGGAGACGGTACCATGACAATGTGGCTGCTTGTGTTCCTTTGGGTGACTATGCCATGAGTGCTCATGGTAGCCTGTAGGAACGCAGCAGCCCTCAGACTGATCAGTGCATAGTGCCACCATGGATGGCTTGTCTTTGGTAGACATCAGGTGTGTCACTGATCAGCCCTGGGAGTGGATGGGTCAGGGACACCTAACAGTGTGCCAGCTCCTGATAGTGCTCATCCTGTCTGCTGATATGGCAACACTTTGTGTGCCTTCCCATGTAGCAGGGGTAAGACAGCATGTGACTGGGGCTTTCATTTGCTTCTAGCTGGCCACTCACAGAAGACTCTTTAAGATATGGGTCCTTTTCTGCCGTACTGCTCTCCAGGGTCTTCCCTTTCATGAGGTGTCATTCAGTTCCATTACAGTTGTATTCATATAATCAAGTTTCTATAATCTCTAAGGCAAGCTGGATGACCTGGCAGCCTGCATGGGGTTCCCTCAAAGACTCATAGGCTGGTGGCATCTGCATGGAGTGCTGGGTTCCTGGTGCAGCCTATGTCTTTCTAGCATGTGACTCCACATCACTGAGTCTTAAGATGATGGAGATGGGGACTGGCTAGCATCACTAGCTTCAGTGGTCTTTGGTTAACAGGTTATTCTTATCTTATGTCTTCATTTTCTTCAACTTGGCCTTGAAGTGGTGATTTCTTCTTCCACCCCTTTTTCTATTAGTTGTTGATGCTTTGTTCATGTATATGGCACACGACACACTGTGGGAACCAAAAGAGACCACAGACAACTCTGTAATGTGGACATGTCATTGTCTCCTGGCAGAGAGATGTTCAGGGACAAGTTGTGGCTTGCCATGCCTGGTTAGCCAAAGTAGTTCTGTAGCTATGACAACTATAGTAGCTGCTTCTGTGTCCGTGTGAAAGAAACAACTTAAAGGAAACGGTTTATCTCAACTTACAGTTTCCAGGGATTTCAGGTCTTTGTGACAGGGAGGGCATGATGGCAGAGCAACTCCTGTCTCTGGTGGTGGGAGTCTATAGACCAGGAAGCAGAAACAGCAGAACAAAACGAGAGGAGATGTCACCTTCAAAGGCCTACCCACTTCATCCAGGTATACCCCACACCTCTCAAAGAGTACCACCAGCTCAGGACCAGGTGAGCCTGTGGGGGACTTGTAGATACAAACCAACATCCAAACGAGATCATTGCTTTAAAATGAAATGCCAGTGGTCTGGTACAGCGGAGGTCCTGAGCAGGTCTTCTCATGGTCTCCCCTTTTGTCAGGTACCTTATGAACAGTGTAATGCTGAATACTGCATTTTACCCATGCATGGACTCTGTGAACTCCAGAAAACCTACTTAGATAACAGATGAATGTGTGTGTCATATAAACACACATATGTCTAAATGTGTGTAATTTAGTAATGAGTTTCAAGTTCTCCAAAAGAAAATTCTAGTTAGTCTAAAACCAAAATCTGTCAACACACTGCACACCTATTGCAACATACTGCAACCTATGAACATACTACACACCTATTGACATTCTGCAACTTATTGACATACTGCATACCTATTAACATTCTGCAACTTATTGACATACTGCAATCTATTGACATCCTGCAACCTATAGACATTTACAACCTATCAACATACTGCACAACTATCAACATTTTGCAACTTATTGACATACTGCAACCCATTGACATACTGCACACCTATTGTTGGGGAGATGGCTCAGTCAGCAAAGTGCCTTTGCCCTTCACTTGGAAGCATGAGGCCTTGAATTCAGATCACTGGTACCCATGGAAAAGTCCACAGTTCAATGACAGACCTGTTTTAGAACAATGAATAGAAGGCTAGGTGTGGTAGTGCATGCCTTTCATCCCAGCACTCAGGAGGCAGAGACAGGTGGATCTCTTGAGTTTGAGGCCAGCCTGGTCTACAGAGCCAGTTCCAGGATTGTCAGGGCTACACAGAGAGACCCTGTCTCCCTGTCTGGAGAGTAGTATGGGAGTTTGCAGAGGGCCTGAGTTTGGTTCCAGCACCTGTGTCAGGAGGCTCAGAACTGCAACTCCAGCTCCAGGGGACCTGCCTATTCACATGCACA